GCCGGACTTGGTGGTGGCGGTCTGGGTGGTAAAGGGCTGGGCGGCTGCGGTGACCTTAAGAGGGCGGAAGGCGGCGGACTGGGCCGCGGAAAGGGAGGCGGGCTAGGCTGCGGGGTCCGGGCGCTGGGCGGCATCCGGACGGGAGGTGGGGGTCGCACTGGTGGCGGGAACCTGGGGCTCGGAGGGATGCGGGGCGGCGGACTCCGAGGTGGTGGTGGTGATGGACGAGGAGAGGGAGGCGGGCGGGAGGGCTTCCGAGGCGGCAACGGGGGTGGTGATGGTGGTGAGGGCGGCGCGTCGGTGCCGTACGTGGAGATAGCACCCAGCGGGCAGCACTGCAGGTTCGGAAAAGGAATGGCGGATCGAAAAAAACGAATATTAGACTGGGACTGAGGTACGACACGTTGAGGGGAGTTAAAGGAAGGCATGGTGGGATTGGTATGGCGACCTGCGAACGATGGTAGGGACGGGGGACTCCTTACTACTATTAAACAGTTGAATTAGGTTCCAGACAGATTCATAAGACATGGCATTATTAACAGTCCTTTATGAAATTGTGGAGATTAATACACCACCAGGGGGGTTTCTTTTGTACGGACTACCGGATTTTCGCTAAGTTGTTGGCCACTCGACTTGGCCTTGCTTTAATGAGAGTTGCCACGCTTGAACAGTCGGTTTTCCTTCCTAATCGTCTCACACGATCTAATGTGCTGTTCCTGAGGGCTCTCTGCCTCATTTGATGGCACAACAGCGACGGTCGTGTGTGATTGCGTTTTTGGATGCAGCGAAAGCCTATGACACACTTAACTAGACAGAGATTTCTTACTCCAGGCTATGGACGCCATGGACACCGGTGATGGCCAGCGAGCTTGGGCCCAACGACTCCTTACGAACACTAATTCACAGGCGTTGATCAATGGATATAGATCACGCAGCGCATCGATGGGGTGTGAGGCGGGGTCTAAAAAGTGGAAGGATTCGGAGTCCATGTCACACCGCATGCCGCATGCTAAAGCCTTCCTTGAGATTCCTTCGGAAAATTGAGGCATTATTCGCAGACGCACCAAAGCCCTGGCAGTATGCTGTTATGTCTAACTGGCCGGACACGCGTAAGTCCAACATAGCTGATCATCCGTGGATGATGTCATTTTATTGGTACTTAACAGGCTAGGCTGGAGTTTTACCAGCGTTAATCGGACGCGTGTAGCGGATTTAACAGTTAAAACAGCCACGTCGGTCATTTCGCATCATCTGACTGATGACCTGTAGTACGCTACATTTCCCTTAGAATATTTCAACGATTTTTATAATAACAATAGCTGTTATTTCGCTGACAATTCGACACAAGTTTCGTAACATGTCCCGTGATATCGCGACATGTCGCGAATATGACAGATGTTCGTAGCGAACCTAACGGGCTGGGGCCCCGGGCCCTACCGACGGTACCCTACTACGGCAGGTCAGGAGTAGAGATTCGTCCGGCAGGTAGCCGAGATATAAGCCACCCGGGCGGAGTGCTCAGGCAGGCATTTAAGTATCACGACTACTTGATGTTCAGAGTTCAAGACTCCGCTGCCGCCGTCTTAATTGCTTCGTATCCGTCTATGTACGCTAGTGCCTGCCGCTGGGTTGGACTCCATCCCACCTCCACAAAGACTCTCAGTTCTACGCATCCGCGAGGTCCGTCGTGTGTACAGGTGAGCAGCTGCTATATGACCGTAATCAAGCTGATGTGCTATTTGCGCGGGAAGCATTTAACACTCCTTCCCCACAGCAACCACCATCTTGGGCAAGTTCATGCTTTACAACATGCTTTCCGTCGTGCGTGGTCGACTGTGCGGTGCTGGGAAAACTCCCAAAAGGAAACGTGGTGGAGGTGGTCAGGTAATGGCATCCCAACCGCTTTTACATGTCAACATCCTTGCCAGACGTGCTGCCATGAAATGGGAGCCAGCGCGTCTGGCGAGGATGTTGGAGCATATGTGGGCCCACCGCAACTCAGTTATCCCCTTTGGGCGCTAGTCTGGGCTGATAGTGCGGTGTTTCCTTTTCTCCGTGGCTTTTAGGCGTTTACCCTTGGGCCTTCGGCTCGTATGGGTAGTTTTACAGGTATGGGGTCACGCACCCCCAACCACGTAACACACACACACACACACACTCACACACACACACACTCACACACACACACACACATACACACACACACACACACACACACACGCGTGAACAGTCCCAGTCGCCCAGGCTACATCACTTTTGGGACTTCCCAATTGCTCAAACGGTCATTAGTCATATGTTGTTATACGATTGGGGCATCCAATATCCCGAAGCGGAAATCTGGCTAATGCAACCTCTGGCGGGAGTACGACATTGTGTTTGGGATGTAGTGATCCTGGCGGCAGTCCGCTGTAATAACAACAACAAACCTGATCACCTCAATCCCGTGTGCTGGCGTGCCCAAATAAATCCCCGTGCCCCAACAAATCCACAACCGACCATATGCAACTCCATGCCCTCCCTTTCCATTGCCTCCGTACCTCATAGTTATCCACCTTCTTGTCGTACAGCGCAATCTCGAAAAGGTTCAGGTCGCGCGTGGCTGGGTGTGTGAACTGCGCCAGTGTGGGACACGGCTCCACAAGCGTCCAACAAAGGACACCGCCATCGATATTGGAAAGTGTGAAAGGCAGGGTGGTAATCTTGCCGATGAAAGTATCGGCATCGCCATCGTCTTCGAAATACACCGAGGACACCGATATAACGCGACCCACATTTGTCTGATAGGCGATATCTGTGATGGCTCGCCGACATGCGGGATCTGAAGGGGATGTGGGAAGAATTATGAATCCGCAGAGGCCGCGAAGATTCGTACATGTTCGTACAGCAAAAGACGTTGGAAATCATAGGAATGCGTGCGTGCACATACACGACACATGCTTGGGGCTTAGCAAGGAGCTCTAACCGATAAGAACGGAAGGCAGAGTCTTGGCAGGTTAGCGCACCTAGGCACGCGGGGTAAGGAAATAAAACTGCCTGTAACCCAGGGATAACATCGGAACATGCTATGATGGGTAATTGTATCACAGGTTCCGACGACATTGAGGTATTTATAACTCCTTTTTAACAATGTAGGAGCTTGCGGGACCAGGATTGAAGGGACTCTGAAAACGACGGCATTTAAGGCGGGCGCGAACGCGTAGATAGAGGGCCCTGGCGTGACCTTCTTAAAGGGTTGTTTCATATGGCATAAAACATGATATGATATGTTTTTTTCCGTATCATGGCGGTCGCAAGAAATTGGATGAAGGCAGTTCATTAGCGGGATCGCGATAAGGAGGATTGAGTATATCGTACAGATTCTTTATGTAGAACACAAACTTCAAGAAGTCTACTGCAAAGCCCTGGGACAATCCCTGATAAAACTTTCGGTAGAAGCAAACCTAAATCTTATATAAAATCCAATTCCATCAGTTACTTGCATAACAGCAACTCAAAAAAACTGTCCCTCTGTGTCGAATTTCCTGTACATGTACCTAATCCAAGACATTTTGCATTTTCACGAGAGGATATATATGGCCTCTGTAAAGCAAGTTTTAAACTCCATTTCGTTGCAGACAAAGGATGCCCCATCCTGGTCCCAACGAAACCGCCCATGTCCTAAACAAGCTATAGTTGCAACCGCAACGCACGAGATCTTGCAACCGCGCAATTGCTGTCCAGCCCCACGTCTACCCTGCAGTTATGCACCTGCGTAGAACTTAAACTTGTTGAAACCGGTGTTGCAGCAGCGATAGCCCCCGGGATAACAGTCCGCTGCCGGCAGCGCAGAGAACACGAAACACACTCGAGTGCCGCCCGTGCGAGAAATCCAACTGGGGCGCAGGCATAAGGATTTGTGCGCGCGTGCATTTGCACATTTAGTTCGCGAAAGCAAAACATTTTTCCGATAGGGAAAGGGTCGGTAGTGAAGGAGCAGGGTGATGACGCGAATGAAGGATGTAGGGGATGAGGGAGGACGAGAATGAGGATGAGGAGAGCTTAAAGGGAAGGGGAATCCCCAAAAATTTCCCGGCGGTCGGTCCTGAGTAACATAGTGCATGTGATGGCTGTCTGGCTGGCTAAGCTGTCTGGGTGGCTGGGTGGCTAAGCTGGCTGGGTGGCTGGCTGGGTGGCTAAGCTGGCTGGGTGGCTAAGCTGGCGGCTACACACATCGCATTCGTTGGACGACCTAAGGGTGGGAACTACCAGGGTGGGTCCTGTCCGACTTCCCTTTCCCAGGTTTCCGGTCCTCCCCCGCGCATATCCGCCACCCCCTTAGAGTTAGTGACGCATGTGTGTTGTATCCCTTGTGTGTTTATATCCTTGGATATAGCACACATACATGCACACACAAATACATGTCGAGCAGTCTCGCACGACCAGCCAGCCGACATAGCCTTACAAAGAACAAAGCGCGATTCAGCAATTCAGTTAAAAGTTGGTTTCTGTATTGACCGGATTGCAACGGGTGGGGCAAACACCCGCAGCCGGCCTGGGGAGGTGGGACTGGGCGAGACTGACAACATCACGGTGACCTGCATCCTCTCGCGACCCACCTGGTGTTTTTCAATGAAACGGTGAGACGGCTCATGCCGACCGTTTTAATACATGGCTCGAAGGGGAAGTTCGTCCCCGCCAGAGGCCCCGCAAGGCAACCTTTCGGGAGTGGGGGAACAGTTGGCACCAGGAATTGCAGGGAATTGGAAGATGGGTGTGGGGCGGGGTGCCAGTTAGGGGTAGAGAGGCCGGGCCGAGGTAAGGGAGTAGCTTTTGGGATTGATTAATGTTCTGAATGTGTGCTTGCGGAGCGATAGGGAGTGGGGAGGGAGGGAGGGAGGGAGGGAGAGCGCCAGGCAGAAGGACCACTGGTTGGCGTGGCCGGGGTGCGGGGTGATGTGGGTTAGTCTGGGAGATAAAACGCAGCCGGGATGCGGAGGGGGATTTGAGAAGGTGAAGGGGATGTGAGATGCGGAGGGGTGTGGAGGGGATGTGAGCTGGGGATGTGAAGGAAACCAGGGGAGGGAAGAGCGCATGCATCGCACGGGTAAGGGCTAGGGGTGCGGTCGAGATGCTGGGAAGAGGCGGACCAGGGCGCATCAAGAGCTGTTGCGAAAGGGGGATGTCGATATGGCGTAAATGACGCCGCAGTTTGAATAGATGACGTTTTGATCGGTTATGATTTGATCGATGGCGTTGGTTAAGCTTCGACTGGTGCCGTTCAATCGTTGTCGTTTCGATGGATTTTTACCTAGTATGCTCGATTAATGTCATTCCGCCGAGTCAGTGATGGTGCCTATCTGCCCAAACTCAATGATTCTGATGCCTTGTGCTTCAACGGGAGCTCAGGAGGTAGATCGGGGAAGGTGACCAAGCGGGCCGAGCGGTTTTGGTGGAAACAATTTTACACGATTGAGCGTTGGGTTTTCGAGATAAAATGGATGGTGGCTCACCCGTGAATGCAAAGGCTGCCAGCAAGCTCAGAAGGCGGGTCCATCCCCTTTGATGAGCCAAGTAGCTACGAGGAACGCGCAGCTGCGTGGCATGGCCGCTCCCGCCGGTGCGGCCTGACTCTTTTCGGCTGTCCATGGATACTCGCTATTACTTGACCTGTACGATGACGTTAGATCCGTTCTCACGTACTCTGAACATTGGTCGAGCGAGCTGGTCTGACTGCGATTGAATTTGTTCCTGACAAACTCACCTCCAACACCGAATCGCAGTAAGAAGGCAGGCTAAAGGACTTTTACGTATGAATATCAATATCACAGCATAGACTTTACTCAACCTTCAATTTCAGGTGGTACATAGTTAACGCACAGCCAACGTACAGGAAGGTCAGGTATGCCAGAGTACCAGACATTAAGCATCAAGCTTACGACCGCAGCATGCATCGTTTTTTCGCACAGGTCGGGAGGAGGACCTTCTTGATAAAGTCCAGACAGCGCCGCGTGCCTTCAAACCGCCCACCGCCAATATCGTCCTCCTCGTGTTTAGCTAGACTCACCAACTGCTTACTTGCACAATAAGGAAGGTGTTGTTGCTTCTGTTCGCTAGCTGCTAACGGTGATGGGCCCCAAACGACAACATCTGCTGTACAAGACGCCAAAGCAGCGATAGCAATGTGATCTAAAGATAGAGCTTACAGTTGTCAGAAGCTTGACGTGATTATGATTGCTAAGCCACGATAGCGTCACCGTCGGTCGCAATCCTTGAGAAATACTATGTTTCCGAGCCAGCAGACTTAAATTTTGTTTCACATATGTCTACCATGTAGAGCTAGGTAAGCAGTTATCCATAGAATGAAATCTTAGGTGGCTCCCATCCACGATTTCGCGCCCACCACGCCAGACAACTAACGTCCGTTACCTGTCTTACCTTCATAATGCCGCACATCAAGCCATTATTCCTACTACCACTAACATTCCATTAACCGTCCATCCTCATTTCGTCGCTTACGATGGTTACTTGAACCCCCAACCTAACAGGTGCACTTGTCAATCGTTACAAACATGCCAAAATGCAGCGATATCACCGCGCTTTCCTGGTAGATGAAGAGATGAGAGAACATATATGGATGGCATAATCCAGATAGTGGTTGCTTAACGCTTCATCTTGCAGCAGCTGGTCAGCAGTCCAGAGGGCAGTAGCGGGCTTTCTCTATCCGGCCGCAATGCACATCATCGCTACCACACTTGATGTCTAAAATCACAAGCATCCTATACATAATTAATCCCGTCCTAAACACTCGCAAGGGGTCCCGGCACTCGCGACGAAGACGCGGCTGTACGGCCAAGGATCTGTGCCCCTCTCCTTAACCTGCGAGGAGTGAACAGCCGAACTCTACCAAGCGTAAAACGCAACCGCTGGACCTCGTCCTCGTACGAAACATCATGACACAGTAGTTAAAGCCGTGACACGCAACGAAGTGCGCGCTGTGACAAGCAGCATAGGTCAACCAGCGCTCAGCGACATGCCGTACTGCAGCACAAACGAGTAAAGTGGCGCTTCGCGCCACCCCCGAAAAGCGGCATATTCATTTGTTGCGTGAAAAAGTGTCAATAATTCATAGACCAGCAACAGACGAAGCGTTGACGAGCGGTAATTCCTGTTATACACGACGCTATTAAAGCTTCCTTTGAAAAGAAACTCCTTGTGGCCACATTTGCAAAGTCCTTCGTACTACCGTCGGGTGGCACAAATTCGAACAAGGAGCGAGTCAGGTGCAGGGTGCCGGCACACACAGGTCCATATATCCGCGCGCAGGATGTGCAATAAAGCATGCAAAGGCGTTATGTGCACAGCACCATGTGGCATGGCATCCTGGTTATGAATCTAGCTTTTAAGGTGAGGAGAAATCGCGTGTGGATTGCAGGTCAACTGCATGCTCGCAACAAGCTGACGAGTGGTGACCAGACTGGTGGCAAGTCTCGCAGCACTCCCTTAGTGACACAGGGCGTGCAGATAACAACCAAAGGTGGCAATGCCTTATTAGTTATTAAGGTTACGGCAACGGCGAGTGACGGCGCTGCTGGATCGGGGCAACGCAGCCTGACGCCGCAACATCCCGAAACGTTGAAACCGCGTGCCGTGGCTGGATAGAACGGTGCAGCGCTCTGTAATATACAAGGTTATGTAGCGTTAACTAAAATGAGCCTGGCAGCACGGTTCTACCTTTATCATCCTTCTCACCCTTTTCATCCATACGGTACGTTGCAACCTGTAGCAAACAGGTTAGCTGGCACATGAGCAACGGTGTGGGACAACATTCTTCTTACAGATCAGCTATCTCGCTATTGAACAGATCATATTGTTAAAGATGAGCGCTCTACCCTGACGCTGTCGATAGCTGCATATAGCTCCGGTTCGTAATTGCTCACACGCGAAGCGTCAGGCCAGACGATTACCTTTGCAAATGCCAGTATTATGGCACTTTAAGCATTGATCTAAGATTTAAATATTTTTTTGTATCTCTTGGTAATCGGACTTCGCTCTTGTTCGCGCCTTTTCATGCCAAAGGTTGAGGATCCACGCCCTTGAGTCAATATGCATTACTAGGTCATAAACCGTAAGCTGTCGCCTCTGGCAGTCATAACTCCTTCTTTGGTCAGCTGTGGGTCTGTGCGCTTTGGAGCGCTCGTTCAAAAGTCGTTACCGGTGGTTACCGTTAACTGGTTGCCTTACTGGCGAAGTACTTACTTGAGGCTGCCCTGTGTTTATGTATTTTAATATGTCACACTAGCGAGATTGTTTACCTGAGCTCTAGTAGTGACTGCAGAGGGGATCTGTCCTTTATCAGTTTCGACGAAGCTGACACCCTACTTACTAAAGGCCTAATAAATGTTCACGACATGTCCTCTAGTTCATGGATGGTAGTCCTTCCTCTTCCCCCTTTTGAACCTTGCCATTGCCTTCGGCCCCCTTGTACAGAAACTCGCCTAGGTCTCCATCGCATGTGTCGTGTATGTGGCGCCGTACCGTCCCAGAGAGTGTGTGTGTGTGTGTGTGTGTGTGCGTGTGCGTGTGCGTGTGCGTGTGCGTGTGCGTGTGCGTGTGCGTGTGCGTGTGCGTGTGCGTGTGCGTGTGCGTGTGCGTGTGCGTGTGCGTGTGCGTGTGCGTGTGCGTGTGCGTGTGTGTGTGTGAGAGAGAGAGAGAGAGAGAGAGAGAGAGAGAGAGTTGCGGTGGGACTACATACGTTCCAGCATCTTCGCCAGGCGTTCAGGTTCCCACTTCATAATATCGTTCGCATGGTCAAAGCGTAGGAAATCCATATCAGATCTGATTTCGCCGTAAATACCGGACAGTCCAGCAAGCCCTCCTTCCCATCTTCAATATGGCTATCAGTGCCGCAGCAGGGGCATACCCGCTCCTCCCTAGGTACATAACGCCCAACAGCAAAGCTTAAGCTGCATAAGCTTACAATTCGCTGAATGCGAGGATAAATGCTGTGATATGCGGGACCCCCTTCCTGCAAGTTTGCTCACCTGCCAGACCCATCCCATGCTTATATTTCGCCATGTGGATTCCCGATTGCTTATCGTCTGACGGGTACGCGTCTGGCTGGTCGTCTACACGCGTATGCTTCCAACCGCTCATCGACCGATACTTGAACTCCGATACCGCGCCTTCTGGCAATGGCCTAATCATTAGCCATTCCACATGTTTATCTGCCTCACGTAGCCCTTGCGGAGCCCTTTCCATACGTCGTGAAACTCAGGAAACGCAGGAAACGGAGGACTAGCGACTCCCATCAGCCCGAGTTGCCCTCCCATCCGTCGGATTTGGAGAGAACCTCTACGATCTCCCGTCGCAAAACTTGGGGTGCGACGGCCCCACGCTGTAAACGGACACGGTTCCGAAACCTCACAATCTGCTTTAAAACGTGGTTATGTAGAGGTGGCCGTGACAATTCAGCGAACAGGAGGCGGTGCGCTGGTCTGGCAGCTCTTGCACTCTGGTTTCCCGCATAAACGATACCTGGAGCTGCACCGCTCCATCCTTCAGGCATGCCTCGTAGGGTCCCTCCGCAAGGTTACTCGCATCACTCTGCCTCCTCCTGAGCCTGTCCAAGACTTCAGCCAACATAAACGGGGCCCACAGGTGACGACCGTACAACAGTATTACTCGTACCTGCGTATCAAAACACTTCATCCTCTCATCCGTGGCGAGCAACTTTAGCTTATCCAAGTTCATATTCAACGCGAACATAGCTGCCCTAGCTTTGTCGTACAACTTCTGGCGGCAGGCACAAAACGGCCGTTCTGGCGCATACACTAAACGCAAATATCGCGCTCTCTCCTTAGCCGGAGAGGCGTTGCACCATGCAAGGGCGTTGCACGCTACAACCCTAAGCCCTCCGTGTCCGTTGGCCATCGCAGGTGTCTGCTTGTGTGAGCTCCATGCCGCCTGCCAGTGAGCACCCCCATTTCCCTTTCTTTTGTGTCTTGCCATTGACGCCTGTCACTTTTAAGTATAATAGAGTGCAGCCAATCGGTGGCGGAGACAGGCTTGGCCAAGCCTAGGGGTACCACTTCAAGAGCACACCAAGCACCAGCAAAATGCGTGAAGCGCAGATATCAATTGCGCGCCTTCCAGGATGTAAATCGACGCCAATCTAATCCTGACTGGCAGTCATGCTTACACTGAATAGGGCGTTTTCATCGCGCACGGCGCCACTTCCTGTCGGCCCGTCCTTGGGCACCAAAACGTCAGCAATATTTTCAACGGCAGCAATGGAAATAGCGTTTGAAATTGCGACCGCGGGCCGGACAGCGGCTTCAAGTGTGCGTCACACACAGCTGCCTTCACAGGCAGTCCCCATGTTGCCGCTGGCATCATACACGTGTCGACGTGTGCTGTATCCTGCTAGCTGATGACCTTAAGTACTGTACCAAAAAGCATTTAAACAGATAACTATGCTTAGCGAATTCCGCAAACACGTGCATGGCCGGATCATGTGGCAAGGTCGAGGTAGCTTTCACTACCGTCGTAACTGTTTAGGCATATGCGACGTTCTTCCCTGCTGCCTGAACGCTACTGTCTAAGATGTTAAGTCCCAGCTTGCTGCCGTACTGCCGTACCCGACTTAAAACCATCGTCATCTCCAGCTCAGCGGCGCCAGTGACCTGCAAACACGATCGAAGCACGGTTCAGGTATGACTGTTCACCCACCATCACCACCACCATCCTTGACTGCGCATTACAGCCACACGCATGGCCATATGGCTCAGGAGTCGTGTAACGCATACAGGCCAGCACTTGAGGACGTTTCACCTCCCGGTTCGCAACAGCCCATTACGCTACCGTCATGTACGACAAACACGTCACCGGAGGCACGTGCGCCATGTCTTGCTCCTACTCGCGCTCAGAACGTAATACCTGAGCGAAGGTACCCGCAAACCCTAAACCCCGCCCTCTATACACACACCTACACCTACAGACACAGCTATAGTGGCTATACACACAGCTATGATGTTCCAACATTGTCAGGCGCCAGCACGTTACCATATAGCCATGACACGACGATACCTGCTGGGCCAAAAAAAACTTATGTTCTAGCATATGTGTCTACAACCGATCGTACGCGCAAAACCACAAAGCATGCTGCGTGAGTTGGATAATTCAAGTGGCCTTCGACCTATGGTTTCATTGAGCCCCGCGCTCGAGGATAGAACAAGGGATCCTGGGCATGTTACGTCATTTCTATTGTTCCAGGACCTCCAAGAATAACTGCTGCTGTACGATAGTACGACATGATAATCACAACTGTGTATCAATTAGCATTAGGTTTAAGTTACGACTATACCTTCCAAGCGCGCCCAAGTGCGTCCATGCCAGCCTAATTGAAAAATCTCTTCAATAAATCTCGATAGATACACATTTGCGGCCCAGACAAATATATACACGTATCGCAGGGCAACAGGCGGAACGGACGGAAGAACATTAACAGTCGACGGCACGTAATGCAATATGTGTGAAGACGGTCGTGTCTCACAGGTGCCGACGCATGATGCACACAGGCACATGTGCGCCTCGGAATTGATTACAAATGAAAAACAGGACATTGGTGACAACGAAAAAGCCCAAATCCGAGCTTAAACCACGCAGTGACCATGCACGCACACATTGCATCGTAAAGAATTAAAACCACGCTCAGGTTTGGTACACCGCGATAAAACACATGTGGTCATCACATTGTGGGTTATTGGTCTGCAGTAGGTCTGCCAGCCACGCAACAGCGGGAAAGCCAATATAGCTTTCATCTCCAAATTAGGCAACATATCTAGTATCTAGTAGGGGTCCGCATCTCACGGTCGTTGCCGTGCTATTTAATCATAGTGAACCAGTAGAGAAAGGAGCTTCAATGCGTAGTTCACACCGACATCGCCCTCCTTCTCCAAGCATCATCATCACCATCGCCTCCATCACGCGCCGACACCCCGCCGACCCATGGGCCATACCCTCGAGCCGTGCAATGCCGCCACTGCTGCCGCCGCCGCCGTTACCACCTCCCACCATCAATATCCGCCCGGTAAGCGCTCTACGCTGCCGCGCTCTCTATCGCTCCTGAGCAACTTCCGTGCAGCAATCTGCCTAGAGACATCCGCACCACCATGCGCCTTGCCCTCCACGGCGCCCCCGGCGGCGCTAAGCCATCCGTTATACGCCCGTTGCTGATTAGGCGGGCACGGGAGGCCGCTGGCAGCAATCGCCCCATTGTCTTGCTCACCCACAAAAAGCGGGTCATCCCAATCTGGCGGCAGTGACGCGGCCATCACATCACCATCGCCGCCGGAGCCCCCAGCGCGTATGAACATGGCCTTAGCGTACCGCAGAAAGCCCTCCTTATCTACGGCAGAGATCCGACAAACTGCGTGGACGTAGAAGCGGCGCGGCGCACAGGGCCTGTAGCCGGCCTCCGGGAGGCAGTTGGAGCCGGCAAACTGGGAAGGGTGTAGCTGTACGGCAGCCATGCCGCGAGCGCGGGCCGCCAGGCAGGCCGCCTCGTCCGTGCATGGCGCCCACGACTTGTACGCCACGAACGTCGCGATGTATTGGTCCTGTGAAGAACGTGTCAACGTGTGTGTGCGTGTGTATGTACGTCACGTACACACAGCGAGATAGCTGGATGGGCCATGTGTCGTGCGTGCTTGCATGCGCGTGTGGGGTTGAATGCAGTGGAAGTGCGCGGTTGCGTGGCTAGGAAGCTGACTATGTTGGTATGTGCGAGAGCTGGATATGGTGTTGCAGGACTGCTTTGGAAACTGATGACCCATATCATTTAGGCAGCCAGAACACCGGGACTCCTGGGCTGAACCAGCAGCCTAACCCGCCACAAATAACACACATAGCACTGTACCCCAGTAAACCCAATTCCCTTCCTGACCCAGATAAGCAAAACGCCCATAACCTAGGCAAAACCAGAACACGAACGTCACAACCCCGACAAAACGCCAACCCCGAACCTTAGCCCCACACAAGCCCAAACCCCAAGCCCGAATCTCAAACTCGACTTCAGGCGGTCGGTTTGGCTGGCTCACCTGGTAGTCGCGGCCTTCAAACTGGAGCAACGACTCCATGAAGCCCACGGTGCGGCTGTTGGCGCGCAGGAACACGACCCCCGTGTTGCCGATGTAGATCGGCCGCCGGGTGGCGGCGTTCTGCGGGTCGTCCTGGTGCACCCAGTTCTCTTGCATCATGCTGCCGTCCGCAGCTCCATTGCTCCAGGAGAACATCTTACGAGGTGGACCGTGGATGTGGGGTAAAGGAAGGAGGGAAGCTGACACCGTTGGCCGTCATTCATTACCCAAGTCAACACGGGAAAGAGCGGAAGTTACGCGGCGGAGAAAACGGAGGGCAGTTGGTAGCAAAGGAGATTGGAGGGGAAAGGAGATTGGAGGAGGAAAGGGGTCGACAACGGTGCGGGCCGGGTTTACAAGGAGGATAAGTAATGCATGGCACAGTCCTCTGCCGTCGTCTGCATGATGTCCTTATCTTTTATCCTGCTGATGGAGCTTGCCTCTTTGCGCGCGAGATGGATGGGCTTCAAGTAGCTGACGTCCAGGTCTGACAAGTGCACGTTGAAACCCAGCTTCAGGATGTCCCTTGTCAGTTTGATCTTGGCCCACCCGATGTTGTAGTAGGAACGAGAATCCCATGCATACTTTGACGCATTGTAGCAAGGCAGTCTGAACTTGCGACACGCCGCGAGCGCCTTGGGTGTTATCGCAGCTACAATTTCAGAGGAGGCTTGGCCAAAGATATGATAAGAGTACAAAGTGTTCAACGCCAGACGAAAGAAAGCAGCTTCTTCTGGAGAGCTTGTCCGATTCTCTGGAACTGAAAAGCAGAAGAGGGATACCCATTTCTCCGGAGTAGAACGCTCCTTCAGCAGGACGTCGAGATCGTTGAAGTCATCAACGTATGCCGGTTTCCAACTTGGTGGCTGTAACCACGGGACAAGAGCGACGCTAGAATCCTGAAGGCCTACACCCGACGCCAGCCCGTTGGCGCCATGACATGCAAATGTGGCGCCTATTACGAAAGCAACCAAAGCAGATATATACATGGCCATCAAATTAGTCCATGGATGAGCAAGAATGATAAATGTCTTCATTTCCAGGGGCTTGGTGAAATTGAGGAGACGTACCGGAACGGAACAAGCTGTACGGTGAATGACTCAAAGTTTGACAAAACATGCATACTATAGCAAGTCTGACCAAGTACCATGTGCCTGAAACTGGCTTAGAACAAGCTAACCTTTGTGTTTGTACCATGCTTTCTAACCGACTAGCCTGCATTCCCACATTCAACGACGGTTCCACCCAGAGGAGAGGTTCCACATCAAGGCCTGCTGCGATCCTTAGCCGTCCTGCTAATTCATTCAGACACCGTATTTCTTGGGAAGCTTTTGCAATGGACTCTGCTGGGGGTCAGAAATCCGTCGACCCGAAGCACATTCCCCGACACAAGTTTGGTTCCGGAGATCCGCATACGCAGACAAGCGATGACACCCAGGTGTGCTGAACATTAAATAATGCGCTGCGTGACACTTGAAGGGCGTTGTGTTGTCCGTCTTGTACTTGGCCTCATTTTGATAGTCACCGACCCATGGGACGCAGTTGTATCGATGTCGGCTGCCATCATCGTCGGCAGCTGAGCCCAGAAATCATCAGCACACACACAAAACTGTTCACATTGCGTTTCCCCCGGGAGCCACCGCTACGCCCCCTCCTAAGGGACATGCGTCGGCTCCCTAACCATAAAATGCAGCCGCGGACACGTGCTACGAGCTTCCTTCCTGGCGGGCTTTCCATTTCACTGTCAATCGTTAGTTGTGCGACTGCTACTACTTGTTACTTCTACTCCTGTTCTACTGCTGTTGGACAGGCCGCCGTTGCCGGCTGTGATGAGATGAAGGCAGGCGAGGTCCTTCCCAGGGCGATGGGGGAGCTTGTACAAGAAGTCGTGTTTCAACCTCCGCAGCATCCGCAACATCATTGCCCCAACGACGACAGCATCGTTTCCGGCGACGGCGGCGGCGGCGACCGCAGCGGAAATAGCGACATTACTGCGCGCCCAACTACGAGGGGCCCCAACGCGGAGCAGGTCAGCGATGCGTACGGCAGCATCGAGTGACGAGAGCTGGGTTTCAAATCTTCAAAGCAGGGAACCAGAGCGGCTCTTCTGTTTGCAATGGTGGGCGCTTAAGGAACGAGGGGGAGGAAGTCCAGAAGTTGGTTTTCAGTTTGTAACGGGTTGGGGGCTCGCACGTTCCGTGCTCTCAAGCTGTTATTCGGAGTGCGGAGTGTGTTGTGTTGGTTTGGAGAGAACATCCATATGTGGCATACGTGTGTCTTGTACATCTATAACCGGTGGTGGGGACACAGCCGCGGGTGGCGCCCCGCCTTCGTGGCGATAATACTCGCCATGAAGGCCTGGGCTTGCAGCTGCTGTAAAGCCATCCGGATATACCGTCGTAACGAGACGCGGCGCCATACCCCTCCCCCATACATACCGGAAAAACCCACACCCACCACCCAACTATGCTCCATAGCAAAAAAAGCAGGATCATGTCGAACGACCAGTCCGCACCGTCTCCGTGGGTTTGTAAAATACACGGTACACGGTACGGCATGCAGTACCTACCGCTTCCACGATAAGCTTTTGCAGCTGGCAAGCTGGCACCTGTAGCCCAGCAGCAGCAGCTGCTGCGGGGTCTGCAACCCACCGCGCCCTGGGCAGCACCCCAGGTAGTACAAACCACCACCCATGCAGCCCCACTATATATCCAATACCACTACGGCTGCTCAGGAACCTGCCATGCGCCATGCGCCCAGGAAAATTACCACCGTCATCACCGCTACCAACAACAACACCAATAGACTGGTGACTATGAGCAACGCCGCGCAGTTCGCAACTCCCAAGCAAAGAAAGCAAATGCGGCTCATGCAGTGACGAATCGCCAATCGCCGTCGCGCTGTTGTGCCGTCATCCCACGCCACCCTATTCCTGCCTTAGTCCTCATCACCTCAGTCGCACTGGCGCACTCAGCTCTTAGTCTGTAGTCATTCAAGCATCGTGTCACACGCACCACCGGCACGGCTTGGCTCTATTAGCTTGCAGCTCCGAAACCTGGTCATTAGTACCGCCCCGTGGTTTGCTGCAAGCTGGTCCGCAAGCCGCCGGAGGCATGCGGCATGTCAGCTTGTCTGAACTTGCAAAAGAGGGCAATGTGGCCCAATGCTGCACGCAATTGTTCGCAAATCACAAATCTAAACCCGCTTCGCACGCCAGTTGAGCCCGCCGCCGCCGTCACCCTCATCACTGCTCTCCTCGTCGTCGTCGCCGCCGCCGTCCTCCCCTTCAGACGCCGCCAATGTCGCCGCCAGCGCGTCGATGATTCGACGGCGTTTGCCGGGCAACACCGGCATTACCCGGCGCCGCCGCCGGCCCTGTTGATACTGCTGCTGCTGCTGCTCTTCTTGCTTCCCATCAGCCGCCGCGGCTACGCCGTCATCGCCATGAAGCGCCTCTGCGCGTTCGTCCTCACCCTCTTCATCCGACCCAAAAGCAGGCGGTGGCGCCTCGCGGAGTTCTTCGTCCGTTGGAAGCTCCGGAAGCAACCCAGCGACAGCAGCGCCTCCCAGCCCTGAAGCTCCTGCTGCCGCCGCTGTGGCCGCTAGGTCGGTGGCTGCAGCGGCAGACTTGGCTAGCAGCAGCGCTTTGCGTTGCCGCAGCAGCTCTAGCCGCTGCTGCTGCCGCCTATGTAGGAAAGCCAAACAGCAACAAACTCAGTAAGTGGCAGTTGCAGCAGCCATGTAGTGACAGGCGGCGTTGTTGCTGCTGCTGCAGCTGCTGGATAAACCGCGATAATACTTTAAATTGCGGTACTTTCCCCGGTACTCCCTGAAGGCAACCGAGCAGCCATCCCTAACTAAAGCAAAAGCCAGCTGGCCACCCAGGGGGGGTGGCATAAGCCATGCGGCAACAAGCACAAGAGCATCACACGGCTGGGCACACCACCCCTCCTCCGCTCCGAAACCTTGCTTTCCAGGATACCCCAGGTCGACACAAAAAGAACTGCGCCCTGAACTCACTGGAACAGAAACGCCTCTCGATCGGCCTTCTCCTCCGCTTCCACCTCGGCCTCCTCCGCCTCCTCCACCGCCTGCCACGTAGACGCCGTGGGGAGGGAGGCAGCCGTGGCGCGACGCCGGCATTCGAAAGCAGAGAGGTGCAAGGCGTCAATTCAGTCCAGTCTCCAAATACAAAACGGGACACACGAAGGCGAAAACGAAGGCTGGTCCCCTGTTCGGTTCTTGCCAAGAGCACAGCCACCACAAACCAGCGCGGGTGTCCAATCCCAAAACCTTAGGACCAGCATACGGTGGGCTCGCGCGGGCGCCGACCGTTGTGTCTCTCTTCCTCATCATCATCATCCTGCTGCTGCTACTGCTACTGCTGCTTGCGCACCTGCTGTTTGAGCTCTTCATCTATGAGTGCGGTGAAGGCCCTGAACTCCGCCTCCCGGTCGGCTGCAGTGGGCAGCTTCACGCCTCGCGCCTGGGCGTCCGCCGCCTTGTCTGAAAAGAAACCCTGAGAAGTCGCAGCGCGCAGCGATGTGGGGGGACAGCAGCGCAGCGAGGGACGGTAAGTTGCGCAGCGGCCGCACACACGGATCACCCGAACCCTCGGGCGGGGGAAACAACCTTTTTTCTCCGAAACGCCGAAACTCGAAGCCCTGAAGCTCCAGCTCACACTCACATCTGCAGTAGAGTAGAACTACCTGCCTGGATACAGCTGTAGCAGCGCAACGCATGGGTGTGGTACATCGAATAGGTACAGTCAAACTTTCGCGCTGAGCCCTTTTCACATGAGATCGTGAGAGTGACGTGACGTCTGCTGACTGTACTATTTAAAAACGTGGAAAGCCCCCCACGCATCGCGGAAGCGCATAATCTCACCTCTGGCAAGGCCGATGGCTGCCCCGCTCCTGGCGCTGGCTTTCCAGCGGCCGGTGCTGCTCCAGGACCCGAACCACCGCCCGGCGGGCGCTGCGCTAGCGCCTGGGACGAGGGCCCCGGCGCCGCTGCAGCTATAGCTGCCGTCCCTGATGCAACTGCTGCTCCTGCTCCGGTTGCCCCTGCTGCTACTGCCGTCTTTCCTACAGCAGCGGCCGGCGCAGCCGCTGTTGTCACCCTCGGAGGCTCCTGGAGACGGAAGGTACCGATGGTAGTTAAATTGGTTGGGCAGCTGAAGGAGCGGCTGTTAAGACGGTTGGTGGATGGAAGGTCGTTGCGGTGGATGGATGGATGGATGGATGGATGGATGGATGGATGGATGGATGGATGGACACTCAGCTGGTTGCTGAATGGCTGATTGGGTGAGGCCCCCTGAGCCGCTACCCACAATGCCCTGGTCATCAAAGTCGCGGTCAAACCATACAACCCTAAGATCAACGCATAACCCAAATCAGGTCCCCCTCCTGTTTAGTTGGGAAGAGTTACTCTTAAACCATGGCCCACCGCAGTCGTTCCCAGGAGACGCGCCTTTGCAGGCTTTTGAAAAAAGTCCGCCGGCAGAGCTCCCCCCCCGGGGGCCTGAGGGGGATCAACTACAGCTGCAGCCTTAGGCGCGGGTTTTTGTTGTAATTGCTGATGCTGAAGGCGTTGTGATGAGGGTCCTGGTCCAACCTGTGGGCACGGCAAGGTACGGGTGCGGTGTCGGAGGAGTGAAAGGGGCTGGACAGCTATGGACGTCGTGGGCAGCACAGGCGAGTAGGCCGGTCTTACCGCTGCTGCCATGGCGGCTTTTTGGGCCTTGATGGCCTTCAGCTGGTCCTTGGCCTGCGTCCATAGGCCCAACAGTTTGGCGGTTGGACAATCCGAAGCTGGTAACGGAAACACTCGGTGGACCTCCTCTTAGCGCCCAAAAACCATACTTACAGAATTGAGGCCCCGCTGTGCCGCAGCGGCCCTGAACTTTGCTTTCAAGTCTTCGGACATTTCGTCAGTCTAACAGAAATGAGGGATATTGTAGTATCAGTTAAAGGTATGCATAATTAGCATCATAATTTCTTCAAACCATCGCTAGCCAGTATTGGGCTGCAGTTGGCAAAGCATCGTCTGATCTGTTTTATGTATACGGAATGGCATGGAATCGCTGCGCAGCGCTAGCTGCCCTAATGCGATTGGTATAACAACTTTTATCTAGACATTTTGAAAGTTGCTTTGCAAATAATTAGGACAGACCTTACCGACTGTCGTGGCTGAAATGGCAGGGTCGGCGACGGAGACCCGAAAGGGTCGCCGTGCGGCGGCTACAGACACAGAAGACTCCATAGATGCAGAATTTGGGGGAGATTATTCAGAAGGCTCGCTGGAGTTATTTCGGCAGCTCGGGCGGAAGGGTGCCCAGTTCGGGCAAGTTGAGCCCTGGGAAGAGCAAGAGGTGCGGCCTCCAGCGCAGGAAGAATGCGATGCGGCGGTTGAGGAGCTCGCCTCGCTAGATCGCGCGCTGGAGCAGGTAAAGCATTACAGGCCAGATGCCAAGGAGCTCGCATGGATAGACTACAAGCGCGCACTGGTTGAGGAAGCATCCGAAGGGGAAATAACCTGGCTTAAGCTCAAAGCCTATCACCACGGCTTAGACGTCCTGCGCACACCACGCACGCTGGATGGCAACGCAGCGGCAGCAGCGGCATCTTCCACTTCCAGCTGCCAAGGAGCTGGCTGCTCACCATTTCCCTGCGACGTGGCGTCTTCACGAGAGGCCGTTCTGAAGGCAGTCCAATCCCTCCTTCCCTCGAGCTCCAGCAGCGAGGAAGATGATGGCGCCGCCGCTGCCTCCCATACTCCGGGCGTTTCCGCACGCCTGACCTCCCACGGGCATGCGAGCAGCAGCAGTAACAGCAGCGCCACGGTATTAGGCTATGGACCCACCTCTGTAGCCGCTACCACGGCACCGGCGACCGCAGTCACTATATATAACCCAGAGTACCTGGAGGAGCTCCGTCTCACCAAGCAGCTAGCGCAGCAGCGGCAGCAGCGCTCTAACGCGTTTATTATGGGCCTTACGGCAGCGGTGGGCATCTCCCTGGTGCGCTGGTTTCTGCACCGCGGCAGGCGCGTAGGCGGCCGGGACCGGGGCAGTGCTACCGGCACGGCCGCGGGCGCTGCTGCCCGGCGCCCGACGGCAGCGGCAGCTGTGGCTCAGCCAGCGCCGCAATGAAAAACGGATCGACGCAGCGCCTGATGAGAGATACATCCGTCCGCAGGGGGTATGGCTGATGAATGAATTGGGTCGGGCTGCTCGTATCCTGGCTGTCGGTTTCAAGGGACTTAGGGTCCGTCCAAAGTGATGAATGGATAGGTGAGTGGATGAGTGGGCGCGAGGATTAGAACCCTATGCCTGTGGGAAAAGCTGTTACTGATGCGGTGTGGGATGGGAGAAGTGAGATCCAGGCGGTGTGAATGTGGTGTGATGGGAGTGCTCCTGACAGCCAGCTGCTCTGCAGGCTGAGGCCTTTGCTGCTGCTGCTGCTTTACTGCGGCAGTAGCAATCATCTCGCGGGCCCTCAGAGCTGAGCACCAGCACCGGCAGCGTGCTGAGCACGACAGCTCTTCAGCCAGCCAGCCAGCCAGGACAGAGCAGCGGCACGCTGGAATGCCAGGGCGCATACACCTTACGAGGGCCTAACCTCAATTGCTCGTTGATGACATGTGTTTTTCTGTGCCACCATACCACTGCCAGCCATGTTGTGTCGCCTCTAGGTGGTGTTGCTCCTGGGCCCTGCGGGGTGGGAGCGGTGCAAGGGCAGGGACGCATCGGGACACATCGCACCCGCCGCGGAGGAGGTTCTTCTGCAGGTGTGCTCTTCTGCGAAGGTGTAAGGAGGCAGCGCTGCCGCTGCTCCCCGCCTGTGGTATGGCCTCATCCGCCGCTGCCGCCGCCCTCATCTTCCTTCTTCTCCTCTACCGAGCCCTCGTCCGCCGCTGCCGCCACCCTCAACGAACCGAAACGTTCGTTCTGGGTCGTTGCAAGGATGTCGGTCTGTATGTGCACACGCCACGAGCGCCGAGTCGTGGCCGATGATGCAAAGATGATGTAACGCTGATGATAATGATGATGATGATGATGTTATGATCATGATGGTTATGTTGGATGATGATGATCATGATGGTTATGTTGAGAGCCGGTTGATGGTGAATGCCGTCGTTAGTGCCTGCTCGGCGGCGGTGAATGTGTGTGGACACCGTGTCCAGTTTTGAGGTCCTGGCTCTGCCTGTACTTCACTGGGCTGGGCTGGGCTGGCGGTGCGGGGCTGTTCAGGTTGTGGCTATGCGTGACTGGCTGCATGCTGCTGTGAGGCGAGGCAGCATGGGGTGCGTTTGTGGGAGGAGGCCTGGGGCAGCAACCGCAGCGCTGCCGTATAAATATATAACGAGCAGGCAGGCTCTAGGTGACGGGAGGAGCTGGGACTCAGGTCATCTGGGATGATGTGGAATGATGGTTTGGTGACGAGGGCGAGGAGTGGAAGATTTAGTGATGAGGAAGAGGAAGAGGGGGTGGAAGAGAGCAGCGAAGGAATGTTTGCGGCTGGCGGGGAAGACCGGACCAGGGGATGCGGAGCGATGGGAAGGTGGACAAATGCACATTGACGCAGATACGAGGACGTGTTTATGTATATCGAAGTGTGGACCAAGGCTAACGGGTCTAACCTGTGTGGTGTGGCGCCGGTGTGTGAAGGGCCAACAAGACACTTTGAGGCTGGGCTGGACATGCTGTGCGAAGGGGTTGCTGCCACTGCCAAGGTGAGAAAGCACGCGGCACAGGTTCTCAGCAAAAAGACCTCTTGACACATCGGTGTCAAACATCTTTCTTCAACTCCAACGACGTCCGGCGCAAACGATGCTACCTGAGATCCCGTAAACCTGTTAACTGTTAACCTGTTTCATCCTGGAGGCGCTACAGTATTATTATGTTTCCCTGCCAAGCACGTTGGGTAGGTCTAGCAGGTGAACCAACAGCGCGATCCGCTCATCCTAAGGTTTTCATTGGGTTCGTATCACGCAGTCTAGCTACTCAACTTGGAGAATTCATCTATCGAGCTCCCGCGTGCGTGCCCCCCCGTGCGCGTGAGCTTTCCCAAATGCCAATATGTGTATGTGTGTGTCCGTACAGCATCAGTGAGGGGCACCATCCACACCACTCGTCGTTAAGTATGTATACACGAATTGCAGCTATAGGTCCGTACATACATCAAAATATGATATAGGCGGGTAGATATACAGACAGATACTGGCCGATGAATGGCTTGAGTGGCTGTATACTAATACCTACTAAAAGACTTCTAAACCAGCGCCGTAAGCTTTGGACGCATCACAGCGCCAGTAGCACAAAGGACACAGCCGCCATTCCGAGAGGACGGTTACAGAAGCGGCGAGGAAGAAGGACGCGAAATGCCAGGGAGAGGGTTTTTTTATTAAGATCGAAAAACGGCTCTGTGGGGGCCACCCACTTCCGCTGTCCCCGCCACCACCACCCTGACACCATCCCCCTATCACCTTCCCTTGCCGTGCCTTGCTGTCCACCCTTCTTGCCTCTCGCCCATTGCACCTCTCCCCGCCTCCACACACTGCAAACACACCCCAGCGCTGCAACCCTCTCCATCCTTCCCTCCCTCCCGACCTCCAACAGCCTGGGCTTACAAGGCTTGCCCCTACGAAACCCTTAACCAAACAACCAACCAACCTAACCTCAACACTCGCGCTCGCCTGTCGCACATCCCAAACACGCATACACACCCACACTACCCCAAGCCATCCCCTCCGCATCCGCGCTTCCCCACGTAGCGAAGGAAAGCATACATTTAGCGCGACGAGGCTGCAGATTTTGTTTCCGTAAACGGCATCTTGCCCTCCGTCGCCAACCGCGCCACCAGCTGCTGCTCCTTGGGGCACGTGGATGGCGCCGCGGCTGGGCACGGACAGCGGAACAGCTGCAGGTGGCCGGAGCCAATGTTGTTGCAGTTGATGAGGCCGATGCCGACACCCGGGCGGCGAATGGAGGTCCATACCTGCGGACGCACACCAACACCAACACCAGCACCACCAGCAATTCTTTTCTATCATTCCGCTATGAACTATTTCTATTTTTTATATACCGACCTTGAATCATCCTAGCCACTTCCCGCCCGCGACAAAGGGCCATTAAAACACCACATGCCTGCCTCTCCCTCTCTCTCACTCACACAGGTACATACTTACTACATACATACATACATACATACATACATACATACATACATACATACATACATACATACATACATACATACATACATACATACATACATACATACATACATACATACATACATACATACACGTACCCGCATGTCCTGAGTTTCGTCGAAGAGAGCCGCCACACCTTGGAGCCGTAAATGCCGTACTGGCGCCGCTGCCGTCGTCGCTGATTTCCGCCGCGCCGCCCAGACGTTGGTGTTGAATCCGAAGGCCGAGCGAAAGCCCTTGGGGTGGACGCCGTACATCCACTCCCGGCAATGCCGCCACACTGGGAAGCCCTCCTTGAGCTCGGAAGGTAGGGGACAGCCGCCGGGACTTACCTCCATGGCCTGTGCAATGGTCATGACCCGGGGGGGGGGGAAATGCGGACGGGGGAAAACCCCCATGTGGGACGAGGAGACACATGGTAAAAGGGCAATAGGAAGACTGGATATGTAGGGTTTGACTACAAGCAGGTAACAGATCTTGACAGGGCTCGAAACCACGTACTTCAGCCAAGATAATATTGCCATGAGAGGATATTCCTTAAAATTTTCATAACCCAGGCATGAGGACGCCGAAGCGCCTTACGTTACACCTGCAGCAAGCACTACACACGTAGATACGTTGTGTGAGGAAAGCGCGCCAGCGCAGGGCCTTCCCCCACACACACACGCGCCCGCCTCTTCCCACGTCATCCCCCCAACGTACTCGGCGGTACTCCAGAGCTTCCAAGTCGTGCAGCAGCGCCGCCTCCGTGACCTCCTCCAGGGGGGGAAGCGGCTCCTTCGGGTCAATCGGTCGCGGAGGCCACGGCGCGCTGAACTCAAAGGTGGGCATGTGCGCCAGCGCGAAGCCCGACCGTGCCAGCGCTAGCAGCGTTGACGGCAGAGCGGTCTGAGGCCCTAGGTCGCTCATGTTGTTGCGCTCGTAAATGCCTGAACGAGCAAGGAGTAAAAAACGGATAAAATAAAAGAGGCTGTTTAGCTTAAAGGGCTTAGAGAGATTTGTTTTACAAACCTTTTTAGTGGGGTGTTAAATTCAATATTCAATTTTTAGTTTGTAATTTTTATATATTTTTCGGGATTTTGAACGGATTCAAAGGTGAAGATGGTGAAGGCGGTGAAGAAAGGCTTTCCTTTTCTGTTTGGCGGCTGATGGGGGAAGCGGGTCTGTGCACCGGAAGGGAGGGGTAATTCCGGCTTTTTGACACACTTCGCCTACACCGCTTCCCACATCACTTCACCCCCGCACACGCACATACACATACACACACACCCGTGCTTGCCTGGCGAGTACTCCAGCAGTACATGGTCTACGTGGCGACTCAAGAGCCCGGATGCCCCCTTCAGCACGTGGGCCTCCCAGCCCTCCACATCCATCTAGACGACATTGCGGGGTGAAGGGGGGGGAGAAAAGACGAATTACGAGGAGGTGAACGGGGGAGAGGGGGAGAAGGTAAAGGGAACGGGACAGGGCGATATATGTGGTACCAAGGTGGCCCCCAGCTAGGGCGCTCACCTTGCAGTACATACACACATACATTTACATGCATTGACATACGGACATACACATATATACAGTCCAAACACGACGCCGTTCCTTCACTTGCAGCGCGGTGCCGTACAGCCTCCCCTGCGGAATATTGACGGGCGACTGCTGACTGCACCTGGGCCGAGAGAGCCTTTTTCGACTCCTAAGCAGCTGCTGCGGCTACCCTAGCTTTTGAAGACAAACGCCCCCCTCACCCCACCTTGAGTAAGATCACGTCGCTGGGACGGGCGTCTGGAGGCGCCCACATCTCCCAGTGGCCCAGGGAGGTGGCGTTGACGGTCAGGGTTTCCAATGCTGCCAGAGTACGGCATATACGGCATGTACGGCATACGTCAGTTCCAGAAATTGTTGATTGAGGTGGAGATGACAAGGGGGTGTGGACCCCAGAGGGGAGGCGGAGGAGGGGAGACTTACAGGCAGGACTTGAGATTAATTAAGAAAAAACACCGTGCCATACGGCTGGAGGGGCGGGCGGGCAGGCAGGGAACCGGGGACACCATGATCTGCAAAACACAAGCATACACGTACACCATCTAACCACACACAGGACAACCCCCCATATGCATACCGTACAATGCCGTAACATTGTCGTACAATGTAAGGTCGTACCTTCTTTTGGCATGACGTTGACGCCATGTACGGAAGCAAGGCCCCAGTAGGCACCGTCCCGAGGAACCACCAGCGGCAGCTTCTGCTGCCGTACCTGCGAACCCCCCTCCCCAGCCGCCTCCTTCCCCTTCCCCTGCCCGCCGGCCTCCTCCGGGACTTCCTCATCACTCAGCGCCCACTCGCTCACATACACACGTTCCACCACGCCAGCAGCATGCACGGTCCATTCTAAGAAGGCTCGGAACTTCCGTACAGGCTCAAATGCCACAACCCTGTGCCCCAAAACGCAAGGAAGAGAGTTGAGATGTGCGTGTGTATGTCGGTATGTCAGTATGTGTACGATGGACTTGTAAACATCGAAGCGGGATGTGGTGTGGTGTGGGGGGTTGCAGACAGGGCTGCGGGTCATTTGGGGGGTTTATCTCCCCACTGTGGGGTCGTACTTGGTAGCAGCCGTACATTAGTATTCGTACATGCTTTTTTCTGCCGTTCTCCGGACGCATGAAACAGTCCTCCCCTCCCCTCGCCACACACTCAAACCCTGATAACACACACATATCCCCGTCCCCTGTCGCCCCGCTGTGTGTGCCGTACCTGCAGCCGTACAGTGCTGCCTGCACCGTGTAATACCCGAAGTTTGCCCCCACGTCCAGGACCAGCCGCCGCCGCCGTCCCCCCCCCTGGGCACCGTCATCCACCTCGCACTGCCCGTCTAGTACAGTATGCAGTACCTGTACGGAAAACACAAAGCACGCACGTTTCATAATTCAAGCATTCATGTTTCACAATTTTCTCACATACTCGCACAGACGCCTGTCAACTTCACCTGTCAGTTGTCAATAGCTACCGCGTTGTAACATGTATGTATGTATGTATGTATGTGTGTATGTATGTATGTATGTGTTTGTTTGTTTATTTGCCACACATCGATCCAGGTCTGGCACTGGCCAGGGGGGGCACCTAACCGTAAAAAACCCAACGGGAACGACCGCCGAAGCACTCCCCTCCTTGCGGGGGGAGAGGGGCGTGAGGGGCCGCTATCCCCTCCTGCTCGACCGAGGGCGTGCACCCTCCCCCCCCTGGTTCCCCTTTTCGCCAAGAGAAAAGAGAGCGCGGTGGCTACCAAGGCCCCCGAACGACCAACCCCAGCACTGCTATGGTAGTAGTGGTGGTGGTGGCGCTTTGGACGTGTTGTCGGCCCCATGGTGTTTGGATGCTTTGCTTTTTCTTCATCTTTTCCTTCATTTTTTTCAATTTCTTCTTTTCCTTCTTCTTCTTCTTCTTCTTCTTCTTCTCGCAATATGTGATTTTCCCGTCGCCCCGGACTCTACAACCCCCCCTAACTTCCCCAGCCAGCCTCCCACCGACACTGACCCACCCGCGTCACCCCCCCCTCCATAGCTCCGTAGTGCCACAACATGGCGCTGACGTCGGGGTCAGAAGTGTGGTGTACGATGGCGGCCAGAAACGGGAGCGGCGTGGTCGTACGCCGTACATACACACTGGCATTGTGAACACCTCGCAGCCAGGACACAGGCCCCGCATATGAGTCCCTGCACGACAAGCAGAAATCGGGCGTTATGACATACATAACAGACAGACAGACAAACAGATGAACAGACAGGACGGTGAAGGGCCATACGGGAAAAGCCATTCATACTCGATTCAATCTGCATAGGTACGGCAAGAGGCATTACGAATCACTCGTACACGATAGAGCTGTTGGAGCGACGGCAAAGCCACGCCGGGCCGGGGTTGGAGTTTAGGGGCGCCATTGGGTTCCCTGGACCGCCACTCATTATGCATTCTCACCCTCACTCTCGCTCCCACTCACTGTTGCGCTGTCGGGAGTCAAAACGGGGGACGAGGCCCCCACGGCTGCTGGAGGAGGGGACACGGGTACCTACCTACCCACTTACCTACCTACCTACCTACCTACCTACCTACCTACCTACTTACCTACCTGCCTGCAGGCCAACCGACCGTGGCATCTGAGCTCATCAAGAAGCGCAGAAAACGTCCGCAGTTGAACCCGTCTGCTGCTTCTCGCATCATTATTAAGGGGGTACGGACCGATCCGGGATGTTTATCCGACTGCTTAATTGAAACAACGAATTGCGATGTTGGCCCCAAGTTCCCTTTGTGATTTCTCGAAGGGCCCCAAAGACACGCACACACCCACCAGCCGCCCGGTACGGTGCCGACCCATGGGCCGCAATCGCCACAGTCCGTCCCGAGGTCACAGAAGAGCTCCGAAACCTGAGAGTTGCCCTCCACACCCCGCAGCTGGGCGTCAGTGCCCGACGGCAGGGTCGCGTTACTAGGCGGCCTGCCTTCGTCACAGATACCGTCAAGCGCCTGTGGGGTGGGGCGAAGACGACGACGGCCATGGCAATGGCGCGGCGGGAGTGTGTGCGCGTGCACGCGCACGCGCGCGCGCTTTGTATGTGTATGTGTGTAAGAAGGGAGCGTAAATCATGTGATGAAAGATGCAAAATGTCACTGTTGATGTCCGTGTGTCTCTGTGTGTTTGTCTGTATGTCTGTGTGTGTTTTGGAGGGATTGGGGGGCACACGGCGGCGGCAGCGATGGCGGTGGAGACGGCAGCGGCACTAAGAGGTGCCAGAAAGCGGAGCAAAGCCGCTATGGTGGTGGAGGAGGACAGCTCCAAGGGGTGGGTCACGAGTCACCAGCAATAAGCAAACACGCCATGGTGTCAGTAGCAGTAGCAGCAGTTGCAGTAGCCGTAGCAGCAGGATAGGCGTATAAGGTACCCGGCTGCCTTCACCGTCCCTCATTTTCCCGGACACGCCGCCGAGCGATGTGCGTGGGCAGCTACACAGCAGCTGGTCAAGCACCTACCTTGAAGCAGGTGTTCGAGCACTGCGAACGGACCTTGTACAGCTCCGCGCGAGCAGCCGCTGCGGCGGCTGCCGCCGCTACCGCCGCCCGCTGATGCTCCGAATTTATTGGCCCGGCGGCGGCGGCGGGGGCGGCAGCAACTCCGCCGCCGTCACTGCCACCCTGGACGCGTACTAGGGGAAGGAAATGGAGATGGGAAAAATGGAGCGGCCGGCTTGGGGGAGGAGCGGGGAGTGACAAGGCTAGGTGCTGGCGTTGCGGTTCAAAGCAGAGGTTAGAGGTTTGGTGGCGCGGTAAGGGAGCGGTTGCCAACCCGGCGGGCGGGAAATGGTGCGCCGCGGTCGCCTCTTTGGTGGTGCAGGAGGGTCGGGGGTTGGGTGGATGGGCGTGTTGGGCGCTCTGGCCTGGGCCGTACCTAAGGACGACCGCAGCCCCAGCAGCAGCGCTAACGCGACGAATGGCAGCAGCCATGGAATCCATGAAGATGCTAGGACGGCTATGCGGCGGCCGCGCTTTCGCTCGCCAGGCGATGCCTCGTTGCTGGATGCGCCCCAGCGCTGGTGAGGTGCCATTTCGTTGGGAATGTGCTACCGAACTTTGACTGGGGTAACCATCATTGCGTGAGAGGTTTCATGGGAAATATTATACCGAAAGCGTAAGGATTTTGTGAGGTTGAAGTCGCACTTGATAGTTTTTTGGCTGGATGAGGTGGTCGGCAGTTGCGCGGGCGCGGTTAAGTGGACGCGATCCTGACTGTATGTGTTCCTGCTCTTAAGAATTGGTAATCATGTACTGACTTATCGAAATGCTGCTTCTGCACGTTATAGTTTGGAACGGGAATGAGTATTATAAATCAATACGTGGCGGTGCTCGTAAGGCCGATACACATCAGCGACTGCAATTGAAACCAGTCCCATAGGGCATACGGATACACAGATATTCATAGGTTCAGGTGAAGAACACCTTGTCCACATCTGTAACAGTATTTAGACCAAGCTACGTCCTTTGTTGGCACTAGACTGCGGTAACTATCCAGACATGAGCGGGTTACCTAGCTGTGCATGATTAGAGTCACCCAGTTGAATATGTGTTTATGATGGCGTTGGCTCAGCATTCGCCAAACCAACCTTACAGTAGCAATCCCAGGAGCCTGAAAAATCTGCAACCAAAGTTCGTAGATGAATTGCTGGCTCGCACAGATACTCTTATATCGCGGATCAGGCCGACGGGGCTGTCACTTCAACGGCGATGGGTTATCACAGAGCATGTGACTAGTATCGTCAAGCGGTGCTTCGCCCCACATGATGTGAGTACGCTGTCCGTCTAGCATTTCGCGTTCCAGGCGGCCTTGCGGGTTCTCAGGCTTTCGGACCCTGAACCCGCCTTGCCCCATCGCGCAACATCACCATCCCCGTACTCCCCGCGGCCCAGGTTACCGCAATACCTTTCGGCTCTGTGCCGCTGAAGACTTACCTACCAGATGGAGACATCGACCTGTCCATCTACAGCGAGAGCCCTCGCGCGCAGGCGCTTAAAGAAGCGCTGCGGGATACTTGGGCCACGCAGCTGCAGGTGTGCCTTGAGGAGGAGGCCAACAACCCAACCGCCGTGTTCCGAGTCGCCAACGTGCAGGTCATACACGCGGAGGTAAGCTGAGAGGCCTTGGAGACGTTGTACACGCGCGCGCGCGTGTGTGTGTGTTTGTGTGCGTGTGTGTCTGCGTGCTCTTGGGGGACAGCGGCCCAGGCCAGAAGCAAGCGATAACAATGTGGGTCGCGGGGGAGGAAGATTTTAGGGGACTTAACCGCGGTATTGTACCGCACAACGGGCACCTGCAGTGTGCAGCGGGTATGTGGGAAACCCCTCTCTCCCAGGCCCCTGTCACATCACAGCATGTAGGACAGGCGATGGCGACGGCTGCCGTACGCCCGCAGTGGAGAACGGGGTGGGCCGGCTTATCGTCACCTGGTCAACTTCTCCAGGGGGGAACACCAAAGTGAAAAACACCATTCCGCTCCCGCTCACTCTTTTCCCCGCTTTCCCCCGCCCCCAAAAGCGCGCGCCGTCTTCCCCCCTTACCTGACCCACATCAGGTGAAGCTGCTCAAGTGCCTCGTCGACAACATAGTGGTGGACATTTCCTTCTTCCAGGTGGGAATTGGAGGCCGGAGGGGGGAAATCAATAAGTGGAAGGGGGCCGCCGGTCATCGTGTTTGTCAATCAATGCAAAGCGCGAGATGAGGGGATGTGGGTCCTAGTATGGGCGGCTGGTATGGTTGGTTTAGGCGTGGCGTTCTGAAGTAGAGCTATCTATAATGGGTTTTAAGCTTTGGGGAGGTTTGGAAGGCTGGGTCATTGAGGCTATGCTAAGCTCGGCTTTGAGAAGGGGGAATTGGGGTTAGGGTCGGGGATTACGGCCCAAACCCAAGGGCCCCGGGCTGGGGTCAGAGGCTTATGTACCGAACTCCACCTCACGGGGCTTCATGTCCCCGGCATTGATGGCATTGGTCGACATTCTTTCACATGGGAGGGGGGCGAGAGGGTGGAATTGGAAGCTAGAATGATGCAGACTGCAAAAATATTTAGGGTCAGACATTTAGAATCGGAAGGAATAAGGTAGATGCAGAATTCACCGGCAACGCAATTGGCGAGTCAGAAGGGGGAAGGGGAAGAGCATGGCTCGAGAGTGTGAATCCTTTCCTGACGCAGGTGCAGCAGCAGCAGCAGCAGCAGCGGGAGCAACTGCAACAGCAGGAACGAGACGAGAACGCGGAGCATTCTCGCCAGGCTGCCTGGCAAGACCCTGTCCGGGAATAGGGAAAGCCAAGCGTAACCGTAACCGTAACCGTCTCGACTTGCTTCACCATTGATAACTTTCCTCCTTGCATCCTATGGGTCTTTCTCTCCCACCTGCACCGGCGTGCTGGTGCGGGTGTGTTACCTGCACTACTCCCCTTCCCTCATCCCCTACCCGGGTGGATGTGCTGCTGCTGCGCTCCCCCAACCCCCTCTTCCCTGTTTCCAACCCCAGGTTGGCGGGCTCAACACGTACAACTTTTTAGAGGATGTTGACAGGTTCGTGGACCAGTGCATTCCGGTGCGAAAGCACCTCTTCAAGGACAGCATCATACTGGTAAGCTGGGGTGGAGTTGGGGTTTGGGGTGGGGGTTGGAGCGGCAGGAAGGGGGGTTGGGCGGGAGTAAAGGAAGGAGAAGGGGGGGAAAGACGAGCCACGAGGGAGTGAAGCTGATGCCAAGGAAAGACTGATGCGCCAGAAGTAAAGAGAAGGCATAACTAACCAGTCGGCGCTTGTAAAGAAGAAGTCCTCGCGTTGGTGGAAGAGGGAGGAGGGGTTCTTTCAATTCATGACCTGGTGCTGCGGCTGGGCTGCTGTGCAGCACGCGCCGCAGTGGCAGATAGCCCAGGCACCGGACGCTGCTGTGCGGTTAAGATGGGGGACCCGGCGGCAGCTATCTGGAGGAGGCGGGTAAAGGAAAAGAGGTGTTGGGGGAAGCGATATGGCGGGAAGGGACAAGTGCTCATCCGGGCCAGGGTAGGTGGAATGGGGGATGTATGGGACTGGGCAGGTTTACGGCTGCTTGAATGGGGCCATTGGTGGCCTTGTGACATGGTGGTGAGAGGGGTGGAGGGTGTGGAGTGACGGGATGCTTCTTTAGTGGACGTTTGGGCGCGATCCTAGGGTTTTGGCGCGGACCCTAACTTAGGGTTGCAGCTTCAGGGGAACGTGCACGCGTCTCCAGCTAATCCTGAAACTTAAAAATCACCCAGAGCTTGTCAGATTGCCTGCTAGGCTACCTGTAGATATCGTTTCTGTCACGGCTGCTGCTTGGCTGCTATGCCGTTGGCTGCTATGCCGCTGGCAAGGTGATACAAAAGCGCTGTGGACATTCTTAACGTGCTTCCTCGTCACTGTCCTCTTGATATTTGTTATTGCTACTGCTGTTGCTGCTGCTACTGCTGCTACTGTTGTTGTTGCTGCTGTTGTTGCGTAGGTCAAGGGTTGGTGCTATTACGAGAGCCGTGTGCTGGGAGCGCACCACGGCCTCATCTCCACGTATGCCCTGGAGACGCTGGTGCTCTACGTCATCAACCTCTACCATCGGGAGCTCACGAACCCTCTGCAGGTGAGTGAGTGTGTGTGTTGTATGTAAACGCGCGTAAACGGCCAGGACTGGTGCAGATCGGAAAGAACGACGGGCTTTGGGGTATGTGTGTGTGGGGGTGGGAAATGCGTACATGAGGCAAGGAGCAAACAATCCTTACCTAATCTGGTCGCCATTTCCCACACTCGTCTGTATTCATCTGCCCTTGTTTCATCTGCCCTTTATTGCTTGTTGTTGCCACTCACACATTCACTTGGTGATTCCCATTCACATCGAGTGTCGTCATTCTCGTCTTTAATTTTGTTCGTACCCGTTTCGTACCCGTTCGTACTTAGGTGCTGTACAAGTTCCTCGTGGAGTGCAGTTGCTTCGACTGGGAGAACTACTGCCTTAGCTTGGAGGGCCCTATCCCGCTGAGTAGCTTTCCCAAGCCCGTTGGTGAGCACTGCGCGCGCTGTGGCGGCGACAGCGCCAGGCTGCACCCTGTTCCAAAGTTCCCGTTTTCCCCTCCTTTCCCCTTGCTTGACTTGGCTTGGCATGTATTTCCCCTTCCCATATGTTTTTCCCCGCCCAGCCGCTCTCTGGTTGGTACCCGGATTGGACCCAACATGCGTCCGTAATGGTGTTTTGCACATAAGCCACGTCTGAATTTGCATGGATGTGCCGCTGCTGTCAACCCAAGAACGACTATAGCAATAGCTTAGCTCTAAGGGCGCGTAGGAGCGCCCGCGCGACAGGGTTCTAATATGAAGATGGCGTAGGGTTCAACGACCAGAGCCCTAGCCTTTGTTCCCTTAAGTCGTACTCCGCATCCATACGAGTACCCTGTCGTGCTGCCCTCTCTGCTGCTGTTGTTGATATTGTGCTGCTGCTGCTGCTGCTGTTGTTGATAATGTGCTACTGCTGCTGCTGGTGGTGTTTCCCTTGCTACTACTGACGGGGATGATGCTGACGGGGAAGCAGTCGAGACACCTGAGGCCCTCCAGCGCGACGCCCTGTTGACAAAGGACTTCATGGCTCGCGCCTATTTCAAGTACACGGAGCCGCAGCTGAGGGCCCAGGGCGGCGAGCCCAAGCCCTTTGCCATCAAACAGCTGAACGTCATGGACCCCATATTGCCCGGCAACAACCTGGGGAGGTCGGTGTCTAAGGCCTCCTACCTGCGCATCCGGCGGGCTTTCGAGCACGGCGCACGAATGCTGGCGGATATCGCGGAGCAGGGCAAGGTGAGAGGCGATGCCTGAAGAGTTGATTCTTTTTTCAGGAGCAGACAGGCACGGTGTGAGCAGGTGGAGGGGAGGTCTAGTGAATGACATCATGTGTGATGTAAAGGGAAATGGGTAAAGTTTGCGAGTGTGTGTGGGTGGGTGGGGGTAAAATGTGGTGCTTTAGGGCTTGGACCTAAACCAGTCTGGGATACGCAATACGTGCGGAGGCGGAGCAGCGGGAACGAACATACATACATACATACATACATACATACATACATACATACATACATACATACATATATACATACATACATACATACATACATACATACATACATACATACATACATACATACATACATACATACATACATACATACATACATACATACCTCCTGCCATGCTGAAAGGATTTAGCTGGGCGGGCCCACCACCCGGGGTCCCGTATGGCGGGTCTCCGTATCTGCAGGAGCTCGGGCCGTTCATCGGGGCAAAGCGCTTTGACAACTTTTTCGGCAAGGCCTGGAACGCGCAGCGGCCCCGGAACCGTCCAGCAGGGCCCGCCGTAGCCGAGCACGGCAACGGGATGCCGCTGGGTGCGCCGCCGTACCTACACCATCCGATTGCGCTGCGGCCCCTACCGCCGCCCTTTCCGAACGTCCCTGCGCCGCCGCCCCCCAGCACCTCGGCGCCGCCCATCGCGGGCAGCGGCCCCAGCAGCGGCGGTGGCAGCGGTGGCGGCGCTGGCGCCGCCGGCACGGCGGCGTATGCCGTCGCCGCCGCCGGGGCTGCCGCCAGCGGCACGTGCCGCGGAAGCAATTTGCCGCAACTGGCATACGGCAATATGGCCGGGGACTTACACGTGGTACGGCGTCAGGAGCAGGGTCAGGGCCACGTGGCAGGGCCGCGTGCAGCGGCCCCCGCGTCGGGCGCCCAATGGCTGGCCAGCGGAGGCGGACAGGAGGCCGGCGCCGCTGGCACAGACGCTGCTGCGGCAGCACTGGCTACTAGCCCCTCTGCGGCAGCGGCGGCGCCGGCCGCCATAGCCGCGACCGACGCTGACGCGTTGCTCCGAAACCCAAACACCCTGTTAGCCCTGCTCACGAGCAGTCTACAAGGAGCCGCTGCTGGTGGCGGTGCCGCCGCCGCTGTCCCTTCATCGTCAACTGCGGCGCGGGCTTCGGAGGGTGTTATGGCAGCCTTGGCGACGGCCGCTGCTAACCCCAGCTTGGACCCCCAGACCCGTCAGCGGCTCGTCATGCAGCTTTTGCACCCATTCATTTCTCCGCAGATGGTATCGCAGCTACAACATCAACAGCAACGACAACAAATGTCTCAGCAACAGCAGGCCGCGCCCAGCGGCTCCAGCGGCAGTGGAACCAGCAGCGGCGGCGGCGGCGGTGGCTATTTCCCGCTGCCGGGCGCCTCACCCTGGGGTCCGCACGCCCTTGCGGCGCCGCAGGGAGGCCTCCCTGTTGGCGTTGCGTCGACGGCGTCGCAGGCGGCGGCAGCGGCGGACGCCGTCGGCGACGGCAGCAAGATCCCACGAGTGATGTCCGCGCCTGCTATGCCCGCGGGTTTGGCAGGACAAGCGGCTTTGGGAGACACGGCAGCGGCGGAAGTGGTGTCGTCGGCGGCGGCGGCGGCCGCCGCGGCAAGTGATACCCCCATGGTTGCGCAAGTGATGGCGGCAGCTAACACATCTACCAGCCGACCGACGGCGCGACCCACGGGTCGCGCGGCAGCCACGGCGAGCCGCGCGGGCGCCGTAGCCGCTGGGCGTAGTAGCCTCTCGAACGAGGATGAGGAGGATGCGGAGGAGGGTGGGGTTATTGATGATGAAGAGGTAGCGAGTGGTGGTGAGGAGCATGTTCGGCAAGGGCGGGGTGCAGCGGCGGCGGCGACGCCACCGCCGCCGCCATACGACACGGCGCCGCTGGGGACGTTTGGGCAGGGCCCTTCTGACACATTGGAGGATGATGCCGCTGCATCGGAAGGTCTGGTGGCCAGTCCAGATGTGTTGGTCCAGGCGGGTCGTGCCGATAAGGGCAGCGGTGAGGAGGAGGCCGAGGAGGAGGAGGAGGCCGAGGAGGGCGAGGGGGAGGAGGGCGATGCTACGGTATTAATTGGGAAAGGGGCCGAGGCGCAGATCGGAGTGGCGGATGTCCCGCTGGTGACGCGAACCGGATCGACTGTCCGTATCACGCGGCCTTCCGCCGTCGAATCCCCAACTGCGGTAACACCGAACCGATCTCAGCAGGCGGCGGCGGCGGTGGCAGCGGTGCCTGTCATTGCGGCGGCGGCAGTGCCCAGCGCCGTGCCTGTACAGGCATTTGAAAGCAGCGGAGCTGCAGCTGCTGCAAGTGCCAGCAGTAGCGACGGTTTGTCCCCGCGGCAGCTGCCGTACGCCGTGCCGGTGCGGCCGGAAGAGCTCCAACAGAAGCTAATGAGCCGCTCACCGAGCTCTGGACTGACGTCGTCGTCGTCCGCTGCCGCCATCGCTGCTGCCGCTGCCGCTGCCGCAGCTGCCTCGGCGGCGGCGGGTACATCTAATCGGGCTGCCGCTGCCGGCAACGCCGGCGGTACATCGACGGGCATCTCCCAGCTGCATTCGGGTAGCGTGGCACAGCAGGGGAGCGGACCTAGCCGCAGCGGCGCCGGTACTCCTCCTCCTCCACCGCCGCCGCCGCCACCGCCGCTGCTGCAATTGTCCCAGCACGACATGGCGGCGGCTGCGGCGGCCTCTGCAGCGGCACTGCAGGCGATGCTGCACGGCAGCGCCGCAACTAACAGTAGTGGGGGCCCCGGCGGTGGCGGGGGCCACGTCCAACGCCACTCGCCAGTTAGTCGGACGGGCCGCAACGCCCCGGGCGGCGTGACACCCCAGGCCATGTCGTACATGGGCCCTATGCCGGCGGCGGGTCACTGGTCCGCTGCCGCTGGCGCCGGCCCCTCGGCAGTGAGTCCTGAGGTGGCGGCGGCGGCGCACCAACAGCTGAGCAACTTTGCGCAACAGCTGATCAACGCGGGGGGTTACAGCCGGCAGCTGGCGGCAGCGGCAGTGGCGGCGCCGCCGCCGCCACCGCCACCGCCGTTGCTGGGCGGCGCATTGCTGCATCCCCACTCCCACTCGCACCTATTGCATGGTCTTTACGGAGGGCCGGCGGCGGCTTACTTTCCACTCAGTTTGGCGCCACCGCCGCCGCCGTCCTCTGGCTTGCCTCCATCCCAACAGCAGCAGCAACAGCAGCAGCAGCAATCGTCGTTGCTCGCAGCGGCGGCGGCCACTGCCGCTGTTGGAATGCCAGGCTATGCATTGCATCCGCACTCCGCCATGCACCTGACGCACGCGCTGTCGGCCCAGCAGGCCCTGCCGCCACAGCAGCAGCATCTGTCGCCAACAGGCGCGGTGGCGGCGGCAGCAGCGGCACAACGTCGCTTCTCCCACGACGGCTCCTCTGCTGGCAGCTCCAGCGGCGGCGCTACTGGCAGCGGCGGCAGCGGGGCTGGCTTGTACCTTGGCCGTCAGCGGGCGCCGTCGGCTGTGTATCTGGCCGCGGCGGCTGCAGCGAGCGAGCAGCAGCATCTGCAAATGCAGCAGCATATACAGCAGCAGCAACATCAACAACAACAGCCTTCGACAGTGCCGCGCTCAAACAGCCGCGGCGGCACCAGTGGCGGCGGCTCCTTCCGCAGGGCCGCGGGAGCAGGCGAGCTGGCAGGGGGCGCCGTGGTGGGGCCGCCTCCGCCGCCTCCGCCGCCACAGCCTGCAGGCGCCGCCGCAGCGCAAGCGCCGCTCAGGTCCTTGGCGGCGGCGGTGGCGACGTGCGGCGTCTTCAGCGGCGCTGATGGCGCCGGCGGCGCCGCCGCTGCTGCCCGACGAGACCATCCGCCAGATACGTTGGCGACACTTTCTCAGGTCAAGGCCCAGCTCCTGACGTTGCAAAACCAGGGAGCTTTTGGCCCCGCAGGATCGGTGTGGGCACGTGATGTGGACGAGGAAAGCACCGGTTCCGCCGATGCCGGGCCAGCCGGGCTCAGCGCAGGAGGCGCCGAGGCGAGTACGACAACTGCCGCAGACCGCGAACAGTCTGGCGGCCAGGATAGCGAACTAGCCGGACGGCTAGACCGCGCCGTACCTGGCGCGGCGGCGGCGGCGTTGGTGCCGCCGCTGCCAGGGGCTGCCGCCGCTGCATGCTATTCGGGTGGGACAGAACATGGGACAGGCTGCACAACACAGATGAAAGTGGGCAGCAACTGCAGCAGCAACAGCCAGACCGCGCAGGGGGGTGACGCCGGCGCTAGTGCTAGCGGCAACTGTGGGACAGACCTTGTACCGCTGTTTGGTACGGCAGTGGCGGCGCCGGCTGGGATGGCGGAAGCCCCAGGGGCTGGGTCATCCGCACAGAGCAGCGCAAATTTGGCGGCGGTGGCAGGCGCGGCGGTGGCGGCGGTTGCTGATGCGCAGGCGGCGGAGGCTGCCAGCGGCGGTGACGCCTTGATGGCGCCCTTCCCTTCATTTGAAATTCCCCTGCCCATAACATTGGTCCCACCGCCGCCACCGCCTCCCCCGACGCAGCATCAGGGCCATCAGCCGCCCCTACCGGGCCCGGGTCCTGGGCCCCCAACAACGGCCCCGGTGAATCAGCAGCAGCTGCAGCAATGGCTTCATTCCGTGCAGCCGCCTTCGTTCATGTTCCCGCCAATCCCGCGATCCGTATCAGCAACCAGCACCGCCAGTGCTGTCGCCGCCGCTGCAGCGGCGGCCGCAGCCGCCGCCGCGGCGGCCGGTGGTGGCCATCGACAGGTAGCTGCTCCAACGACCCCGCCGCCACCGCCGCCGCCTGTCCCTGGCATCGGCAACACGACCACCGCCGTGGCCGCCGCCGCTGCCAGCACGTCCGGGGGAGCAGCTGCCAGCATGTCCGGGGCGCCATTGCAGCCGAGCTCCGGCAGCGGCAGCTCTAGTCGTACGGGCTCGATTTCGAGCTATCCTCTGGCGATGCGCACGCCTGGCGGTCCTGTGGGTCCGCCGCTGGCGGCGGGAGGTGGATCGCAGCAAGCTGCCAACCCGGCGCCGTTGCCGCCGCCAGCGGCCGCGGCGGGCGCGCCTACCCACATGGCCGCGGCGATGCTGACGCACCCACATCCGGCAGCCGCAATACGGTACAGCCGATTAGGGTATGGTGCGCATGATTACATGTTGGGAGTTTCGCCGCCATCGCCGCATCTGGCATCCAGCTTGCAGCCGCCGCTGCCGCCGCCGGCGACTGCTCACAACATACAGCACTCACCGCCATCGTGGCTGTACTCCAATGCGCAACGGTTGCTGTACTTTTACGACATGAAAGCCGCTGCGGGAGGTGCTGGCGGCCCGGAGGCGCAATGGATGTCTGGCTCGGCATCGTCTGGCCAGAGTCCCTCACAGTCCCTGGGCTCGTCAGCAGGGCTGTACGGCGGCGGCGGCGGCGGCGGAAAGTCCGTGACGGCGGCGGCGCCGCCGCATGCATCGTCTCACCTTTCCTCTGGGCTGGCGTCCGGCGCTGAAACGGGTCATCCGGGTCACTCGGCTGCCGCCCAAACTGGCAACGCCGCTGCAACGGCGACGTCTGGCGCCGCCGCCGCGTCGCTGCATGATCAAGCTGCTGCATGTGTTCCTGGAGCTCCGCCGCCATTTCTACCCACTCCCGTGTTCATTGCCCTTCCCCCGCACGCTGCAGCATCGTCGCACTTGCACACGCACACACGCGACCCACGTGCCTTAAACCTGGAGTACACCCGAGCCATGGTGGCTGCGATGTCCCACCTGCACTGCGGGAATCTTCCAGAAGTTGGGAGCAGCGGAAGCGGTGGGCTGGCCGGGGAGGTTGGCGGTGGCGGCGGCGCTGACTTGTCGTCCGGGCAGGGCGGCAACGGCTTCACCGGGGTCAGCGGAGGCGGTGGCGGATTGCTGTCGGCACAGACCAGTGGCAACCTGCAGGTGGATGACATCTTGTTCGAAGATGAGGCTAGCGGCGCCGGGGCCAGCGGTTCGCACCCGTCGCCGATGTCCCAACCGAAGGGTCTCTCTCCAAGCGGTGCGCCTGCCGGCATAGGCAGCAGGGCTGACGATGCGGCGACGGCGGCGCCAGATATCGACGCGACGGCCTCGACGGGCCTTGTGCCGTTGCTAACGGCAGTGCCGCCGCCGCTGCCACCGCAGCCGCCGCCGGCGCGTGGACTGTCTTCCGTGGAAGCCCCCGGAGCTTTAGACAGTGCGCCCGCCGGCATGGCTAATGTCAGGTCTTCGCACCCAGGTGCTGTGCCGCGTGGGAGCTCCGAAACCGGATGGCAGTTGCCACCTAGGGGGCCAGCTGCAACCTCGTCACCATCGTCATCAAGCGCAGCCGCGGCCAACGCCACCGGCACTAGCGCGCCTGGCGCGGGCATGCAACAGCCTCCACTGCCGCTGCAGCGGCCAAGCCCAGACGGCCCAATGGCTGGCGTTGCTCCGCCAGCGCAGCTGGCGCCGCCGGCGTTTTACAGCACTCCAAGCATGAGCGGCGGTGCTAACATAGGCAGTGCCGCTGCTGGCGCCGCTGCCGCAGCGGCGTCCTGCATGGCTGCAGCACCTACAGGCGTAGGTGGGATATCCCAGTCAAGCAGTAGCTCCCAGTTGGCGGGTAACCGCGGCAGCGGCAGCAGCATCGGCGGCGCGCAGGAGGTGCTTCACCACTTGACACCCCCCGCCTCGGTATCGTCTTCCGGTTCAACACCCCTGTCCCACAGCCCTCAGGCGCCGCTGATGGCGTTGCCCGCCACATCAGGTTCACAGCTAGTGCGTGTGGGCTCCGTTGACGGCGGCAGCGGCGGAGCAGTACAGCCGATAGCGGCGGCAGCGCCGGCAGTCGTGGCCGGAACGTCGGCGTTACAGCCTGCAACGCAGATGCCGATTGCCAACGCTGGGGCCCCGGAGGCAGTGCGGCTGCTGCCGATGCCCATTATGCCGCTGCCGTTGCCGTTGCAGGAGTTGCCGCCGCCTCCGCCTCCGCCTCCACCGCCGTCGCTACAGCAACAACAATCTGGTGACGCAGCGGCGATGATAAGCACTACGTTGTCATCATCATCGCCACAGCAGTCGACATCCTCGGGCCTTCCGCCGCTGCCGCCCTTTGGCAGCGCACTTCTTGGTGCCCCTCGCATGCACGGCCAGAGGTACGACCCTCTGGGCAACGCCGCTGCGGCGGCACGCCGCTCGTCCTCCAACGGCAACGCCGGGTTACCTTCCCCGCCCAGTCCGGGGTTGTCTCCGGGGCCGGTGATCAGCAACTCGCTGCTAACGGCGCCGGCCGTAACCGTACCTGGGGCGCTGCCCATGGCAGTACCGGTGGCCTCTGCTTCGCAGCCTCCTCCGCCGCCACTTCCCGCCAAAGACGCCGGGGAGACAGCGGCGGCAGCGGTTGTTCCTGCGACGGGGTCCCCTGTCGCAGGCTTATCAGCCCTGCCGTCAACAGCGGCACCGCCGCCACGAGGGTTCGCATCTCCAGGCACCTCTACACAGGCCTTGCTGGCTGCGGCCATGAGCGCTGCCTCTGCCCCGCAGCAACGCGACGGCAGCAGGGTTCCACTTGGCTTGCCGCCTGGACTCGCAATACCGCCGAGCAGCAGCGGCCTTCGACCTGTGCCGGCTTCGCACATCAACGCACAGTCACAGCAATCGAGCACTGAAGACGCGCCGGTCATGGCGACAACGGCGGCAGGGGGCGAGTGCCAGGCTGTGGCGATGGCGGTGGTTGCGGCTGATTCCGGCAACGCGTCCACGAGGCCTATTTCAAGGCAGGGCTTGGTGCTTGAGTCTCGGAGCTCACATACGAAGACGAGGCTCGGCGGTACCGTTGAGATGATGACCTCAACCAGCAAGACGGCCGCGGAGACGCGGGCTCTGCTACCGGTGGCGGTCGCGGCGCTGCCGCCATCATCCGTGACCGCGGCATTGACCAGCCATGGCACTCCGGCGGCGGCGGTTAACGCTCCTCCGACAGCTGCCGATTACAATGCGGCGACGGTGCCGCACACGGCGCAGGAGCAACAGCAGCAGCAGCAGCAGCAGCAACAGACGGCCCCAAAGGCTGCCCCTTACCGCCCTCCCCACCATCCTCAGCCGCAGCCGCTACAGCACGCATCTCATCAGCAGCCGCCGGTGGCGCCAGGGCCGTCCGCTGCGGCACACCCGCCGCCGTCTCCGGCGTCACCTATGCCAGGCGGCCGCGGCGGGCACGCAGGTGTTCGGAGCACATCTACTGGGCGACAAGCCGGGGGTTCTCCTGCTTCCGACAGGGCCGGCGCAGCCGAGGCGGTGGGTTCATCGGCCGCCGTTGCGGCCGTGCCGTCGCCGCCGCCGCCACCGCAGTCGGGCGGCTCGCGCAGCGCCACACTGGCCTCCGTCGCACAGGTGGGTACGAGTTTAAGGGCCCGGTAAGGACAAACCCTAGGACGAAGCAGACAGGGCGGGTGCTACTTGCTACTTGCTTCGCTCCAGAAATCAAATGTGTCAAGGGTCAAATCGATGTGTGGAAGGTGACAAACATGCAGGTCGGTCATTTGCCGTACAGGCATAATGTCCACCTTAACGCCACGTGAATATTCGGCGGTACAGCGCACGGTGGTGTGCCTGCCTACTCAGGCTACTCAAACTGCCACTAGCGCCGTGAAGTGTGCTGGTTTGCGGTGTTTGAAAACAGCGCAGCCGTGTTGGGTTGTCGTCGCAGGGTCCGTGCCTTTCCAGTTTTGTCGCTTATGCGGGCTTTTCTATGTATACCTGGGCGCAGCAACCTTTTGCCTTGGCTTCCTTTCCTTTGACACGCGGTGATGTTGGAATTTGTTTTTCAAAGATTTCCAAAATAGTACGCAAGCGTTCGATGGGTTCATTTGTTGGCTATTTGTGCGCCTTGAAAGCTTCCCGATTTGGGCCCGTCGGACCTTTACTTTGGATTACCCAGGGAGATACAAGTTGTAAATTAATGCTGGCTTTCCAATTTATGCTGGCCAATCACATCGTTTCGCGTACTTTTCGCGTATCGGTTTTTTTCCGTTTTTATTACGTTTAAACCGAAAAACCGTTGGTCTGGTGAGCGCAATTTCAGCGTTGCCGCATGATGTCAGTTGCGATGCTGGTAATTGCGTGGCTACATGTATGATAGCTTCTAGCGTTTTCTGAATGTTTTGACTTAGGGTTTGTTTAGGGTTTGCTCAGGGTTGTTTTGACTTGATGTAGGGTTTGTTCAGAGCCTTAATATCGCGATACACAGCTGTAGTCTGCATGCACTTACGCAGGCATCTATGTATACACATATATATACCGGCCCCGCTTCGGATGTTCGGTATATATATGTATGAATGTATGTATGTATATGTATATACAAGGGATGGATAGCGAAGTAATTTTCTCCGGCGGCGCCCACCATCTCAATGTCCGGAACGCCGCTGTTGCCAGAGCGCGATGAAGAGGACACAAAATACAGCGGAAACGAAAACACAAACATTAAAAAGCCCAATCGCGATAAATTACCTGTGCGATGTGGTTATGGTTGATCGCTGCAGTGGTATCGAGCATGTCGATGTGCTGTGAAGATGACCCACAACATGCAACCGTAATGCCCCTTGCAATTTGTTGTTTGGTTGTTTGTATCTGTGGGGGTGCCTGTGTTTGCGCGAAGTTCGCAGTGGGAGTTCGCAGGATGTGCGTAGCGGGTAGTTTTAATCTGACAGATGCGGGGCGATTTCGAATGGCTACTGGTCCGAGGAGCGGAGCGGCTGGTGCAGCGCCACCGCCATAACTAGGTCACCAGCTTCCCGTCAGCCTTACCGCTGCCGCGTTAATGAGACATCAGAAGAGGCGCCCGGTGCACTCTGTTCAAACTCGGCGTGTTTCTCTTTCCCCGTATACACCGGCAACTCCGGCAACACCGGCACGTAACGTGCTTTGCTCGAGGCGCATGTCGCATGTGTTTGCCGCTCTCTACAATCCGTCCCTTTCGTCCTGGACGCCTCCTTCGCGAGCTGCCAAACTGTCGGCAGAATCCGGCCCGGCGTTTCGCTAGCTTAGCCGCAGAGCTGATTTGTGAATGCAGTGCATTCAATGCAGCGTTTCTTTGCATGTGTGTCCATGGCCAGTCCGTCCAATGCCATGCCGACTATGGCACTTGGCACAACCTGTATTCCTAGTTGGATACCGGACCTGACCTTTGGTTCTCAATGCCCCCCCCTCTGTCCCCTGTCCCCTGTCCACCCCCCGGCCCGCATGTCCTTGCCCACTGCCCCTCGCTGTTTTGACTTGGATGCGTCCAGGCGTCGGAGTCCGGAACGACGGCGGCCCAGGCTGTGAAGCGGGCCATATCCTCGGACCGGCTCATGTCCTTCGCGTCCAGGGGCAACATGAGCGGCACGAACGGTGGGTCCCTTGCCAGCACAAACAGCGCATCAGGGTCTTTAGCTGCGCCCTCGCAGCAGCAGCAGCAGCAGCAGTCGGCTTCTTCCAAGGCAGCTGGGGTGGCGGCAGCAGCAGCAGCAGCAGCAGCGGCGGCGGCGGCAGCCGCTGCTGGTGGGAGCGCCAGTGGCAGCATTGGCGTGTCCCCGCTTCCGCCCCCGCCCCCGCCTCTTCGCCGGGTGGCATCCGGTACGATGAGCAGTTATTTGGCTGCGGCCGCGAACAGCATTTTGTCTGGTGGTCTGTCCGGCATTGCTGCCCCTAGCGACACCACGGCGGACGGTGCTCCGGTGTCACCTGCGTCGTCTACGGCATCGGGCCGTGCTCGCCCGTCCCTGGATCTCATAGCAGCGAGCACCACCAATCCAGGGAGGGGACATCATTACAACCAGCAGCAGCAGCAGCAGCAACAGCCTCAGGGGACGTCAGCTTCTCGGCCCGGGTCCAGCAACGGCGAGGGCGGCAGCGAACGGCCCAGCAGGCCCCACTCGGCTCAGTCACACCACCATCATCATCACCACCACCACGGGCGTCATTCCCAGGGGCAAGGCAGTGGTGGTGGAGGCGGCAGCGGGACTGCGCGTGAGGATGGCGCGAGCGCGCCGATGCCACAGGGAGCTGGCAGTGGTGGTGCTGGAGGAAGCGGAGGGGGACATCGCGGCCGCGGCGCGTCGCACGGGCGCCACGGCCACGGGCAGGGCGGCCAGCAGCACCAACAGCAGCATCAACAGCTGCAGCAGGACGGTGATCAGCCGGGAACAGACCAGGAGAGCGAGTGGCAGCGTGTGTCAAGCCGGCGAGGCGGCGGCTCTTCAGGGGCAGGGCACCACGGTCACGGCCAGCAGCACGGTCACCACCATCACCACCATCACCACGGTCACGGACATCACAGCCAGCACTCCCATCAGGGCGAGCGAGGGCAGCAGCAGCATCCCGCTGACCAGGAGGGGCGCTGGCAATCTCGGGCCGAAGGAGGTGCCAGCGCGTCGTCTGGCCGCGGGTCGAAGCAGGGGGCTGCGGCGCGTGGAGGTGGCAGTGGCAGCAGCACTGGCGCGCAGGCGGCCGCGCCCGGTGGCGGCGCTGGTAGTGGGGCGGCTGGGCAGCGTGGGGGACAGTCGGGGCGGCAGGGACGTAATGCAGCTGCGGGGAAGGAGCGTGCGGAAGGCGCGGGGGACAAGCATGGCCACGGCTCAGGGGAAGCAGACCATGGGGAGGGGCCCCCTAGCCGGCATGTAACTGGACGGCGTCGACAGTAGCGTGCTTTTGGAGCGACTTGTAGGATCTTAGAGACTAATCTGGCTGCTAGTAGAGAAGACGCGAGTTTGGATTATACGGCGTTTGGAGTGCGCACGATTCCGCAGGTTATGGTGTTCCGCGGTGGTTTCGCGGGTTTGCACGTTACCTGGCGTCTGGGTGTTGCAAAAGTGTGCTATGTATTTAAGGATTCGCAGGTGCCGTGGAGAAGATATTGAACATTAGCAATGTGCGGAGAAATGGAAATAAGCATGGGAGGAAATTCCAGAAGATAATATGACAGGGGAGGTTTCCGCTGTCCTGCCCGTCGTAGTCAACGTCGGTCGCCTTAGTTGTTGGAAGCTTACACGTAATTATAAACAGATTTTTCCTTTCTACGGAAACAGCTTCCATTGGCAGCCTTTGCCAAGCATTGAAGCGTTTCATAAAGATGGTACGGATCCAATGTTGGTGGCCTCTCGTCCACGCATGCGCACTGAAAACGGCGGTCCGGCGTTATTGATTGAACAGGAACATATACTTTGTAATACCTTTTAACTGTCTTCTACTTTGTTATAATAGGTGCAACTGGGTAACTCATTTACTACTCGTCAGAGCTTGTCCACACTTGCAGGCAGCGTTCATCCTTGCCAAGAACAACAACCTGAGACAACAGCTTTACTATATTGTGCTGTCGGCGAGCGCGCCTACTTGGTGTTTTGGGCGGAAGGCGGCCGGGGCTACTGTTTAGCGCAATTTTCACACGGCAGTTGTTCCTCGTGTATAGCAAGTGTTTTATCATCTTTCCAAAGGCATCCTTCTCTGAGGGGAGGTTGCAGTCAAGAAACTAATGGAGCCAATTCATGAAGAGTTCCACGAATCAGAGCTGTTCCCCGAAGTCGCTCGTGAGGCTAATAGCGAGGACATTGAAGATGAAGAATCACCGACGGCAGAACAGGGAGAGGAGCAACCAGGTGCGCCCTGTACCTAGAGCTGCGAGGGGCATAGACCGGAAGGAATTTCTAGCCCAGCGCTTACACAAGGAATTCTTGAATTCAAGAAGGGATGCGCAAGAAGGGATGAGTTTGAATCTCTAAAGTGCACTTGATCTTTGACAGCAGTCGCGACGCATTTGCGTCGGCCCTTGCCTGAACGACCCAGATTAAGATTTCATATTGGTTACTAGTAATCCTGAGTACGCTTTTGCCCGCAGATGATTATGGCTTGAGTAGTGCCAAGAGCTCCTTGACAATCACAGCTTTAGACACAGGCGCTGAGCTGCCACACCAAGCGGCTGACGGACCAGATGACCAGCAGCCAGGGTTTCGTCCCATTGCTGCGTCGATGCCTGCATCAAGCTCTCACATCCGCATGGTGCGTGGAGAGGCTTCCGAAGGGCTGTTGCTCTGTCGCTACGTTCCCACCCGAAGCGACGAATAGGAGGCGGATCCCTCTGCGTCTTCGTACTCTAACTTGAATTGGGGTGAATTTAGGGTTGCTTAAAGCACATGGCATATGACTGGCGTTACCGGAAGCTTCGTCACAGGTGCAGCTGCCACTTCAACGGAATGACAGCCAGCTCTCTAGCCTTGTCGCTTGAATGTTTCAGGGACTGTTGTTGTTACTATGACCTGTTGGCTCCCACTTTCATGTTTCTAGGGGTCGTCTGTCCCGGTGAGCATTCCCCACATGAACCGGTGGAAGAAACCAGAGGCACAGCCGGATAGTCCCACGGCCCAGTACGCGCCGGCAACGTTTGTGCCGCCGCATCAGTTGTCCCAAGTCAACGAGTTCATGTTTTCTTTCACGGGTAAGTAACACGGGCTTTTGCAGAGCTCCGATGACCAGGTTTAATCTGTACGGCAGGGTATCAAGTTGGGCGGTAGGTTTTGTCTTACATCACAGAGATAAGCAGTACAGACAGCTACTGTAATGTCGTACAATAATTGTCGAGTGGCGGAAATGTGATTGCCATTCTTATGCTCCCTGGTTATTTTACATAATAAAAGCAGAGGTCGTGTTTGTGCTGTAAACTGGAAAACGTACACGGGGTGCACCATGGTAGAGCACCAAGGGGATTTCCAGGCCAAGGCGATTGCTTCCATCGTCATGGGCATATCGGCGAGACACCAGCGCGCGACGATCTCCGAAAGACTTTTCCATTCAGCCACACAAGGGGCGTCACGAAACGGGGAATAAGGAAGGCGATCCATTCTGCACCCGTTCTGGCGCTCCCCACTCCGTCTCCGCAAGGCCATCTGGTGTTATCTGCAGGCCCTCCTTTCCGCTGCTGCGCTCCGTATCTTCCCCGCCCACACGTCCGTTGGCACTGCTCCCCACTGCTACAGAGCACATACCCTTGATACACATCGTGTAGCACTTGCGGCTGCCGTTGTGCTAAAGATTTGCCTCGTGTACCCCCCTTGGCTGCGCACCGACAGGTGAAAGTCCCAGCGTTGCGATCAAGCGCGATCGCTTGCGCGTGCGCAATGCCATCCTGAAGTCAACGGGCTTTCTAGAGCCGGGCGTTGAGCAGGTGAACAACATCGGGCTACAGGAACGTAACCGGCTGGCCGTGGCAGCGGGTGGGCTCAGCCAGGCCCTTCAGCAGCATGGTACTGTCTTGGGGAGCATAGCTGCGGCGGTGAAGACGTCGTCATGAGCTCTGAGCGACGTTTTTTCCTCATAAGCTCTGGCGAGTCTAGGTGGGCGGCTGGTTGTGTACGCGGGCCGGACGGGCGGGAGGGAGGGCAGGTGTTCCCGGTGATGATGGATTGTTACGAATACACCCCATGCCGTGGTGAGGTAAAGCTGTGGGCATGATGCTGTTATTGTGTGTGGGGAGGATTGTTTGCAGTTTACTCGAGGCCGGCTGGCCTCAGGCGTGTGGCCAAGCGGGGCCAGGGGAGATGACAAGTTGGCTGACGACGCCAAGCCCGGGGCCATCACTGACCTTAGGGCTGTGGAGCACTTTATCAACGGCCATTTTCGAGCCTTGGCCTCGGGTGTGAAATCTGTGTGGTCTGTCCGTTGCAAGATTGCGTGCATTCTTTTCATGCGCTCGACGCGGCTAGTTTGTGTCCGTCCAGCGTTGGGAGGTTGAATGGACATGGGGGGGGAAGAGAGAGACGGCGCACGCATCCAACTGTGCTTTCTCTGGAGTGCGGATCGCGGTGCCACCGGTAGCAGACCCGGTAGTTGAATTTAGGAAGAATGAGTGGCGGGAAATTTGCTGAAAGCTGGCCGAATGCGGTCGAAGGACGGCGACGGCGTGTACACCTTAAAAAAGAGTGACGAGGCAGCGTTTTGCCTGCAGGTGGTTTTGCCGTAAGGCGTGAGAGGAACTGAGTGGTTTTGGCTTGATTTACATCTTTCTTTTTTGTGTCCCTTAACCCTCGTCGAGTTGTCGGGGAATCCCGAGTAGGGGAGTATTGGATATGCCGCAACGGAGGTGGTGCATATGTGGAATGATGTGGTGGTTCAGGGTTTCATCAGAAGGCCCTGGAAAAAAGTTAATGCTTGCGCGGATTGCCAAGCTTTTTTATAATTGTTGTCGTATGGACCAGCAGTCGTATTGGTACCATGGTTGTAGAGATGTAGGATTCTTCGGCCATTGCCATCTGTGTGATGCGCAAGCGGATTTCGCGTTTTCGGTTGTATGCGGAGTTGACAAGGCAAAACATCATCACAACTGCCATCATCAGAACATTGGGGAACTTGAGCGTTTTTGCGCGTGAATGAGTGAACCAGAGGCGAAATGCTGTGATGGAATGTTCGATCAAAAAAGAGAGAGAGGCCACGGGGATGGTGATGCTGTGTGCTTGCGTGTGTGTCTGTGTGGCGGGGACCATGTACCACCGGAGGTAGGTCAAAAAGCCTTGCTTTCCCTCCGGTAGAGCTGTGATGGTCGCTCGTCCGGTAGTCCTCCGTGGTCAGTTCGGCGCTAGAAAAATTCCATAAAAATATCCGTCGATATTGCAGAGCCCCGTGCCCCGTTCCGGAGCTTTAGGATGCCTGTCTGGGATGGGATCCATCCCCGGTCGGGGCTGGGGCGGGTGGGGAAGCCTCCCTGGGGTGCTCTGTACCGTATCTTGCATCCGCATCATTGTAGCGAGGGCCTCCTCAAAAGCGCAGAGGCTGAGAAATTTAGTAGCCAGGTACCACCAACTAGAGAAGTTGTGAATAGGCCCTCTTTCTACATAGCAGAGAGGCGGCATCGTTGCGTACTTTTCCCTTGCGCTATTGCCGTGTTTGCGCTCTGCTTGCGCCGGCGGCTTTGCGTCGTTTGCACGGAAAGGGAACATCCTGTCCACGCGAGATATATGATTTGCGATGTGGTATGCCAGGCTCATGGCGGAATGAGGAGCTCTTTGCGCCGGTTGAGAGTCATTTCTGCAAAATTAGCTCTCAGCAAGGGCGTCGGAAATTTGCGTGTGTCGCTCAGAATGTCTATACACGCTGTGCGTCTGGCCGCGCCAATCCGTAATTTTTGCATTTAGGTTTGGAAGTTTTGGATTGGGCATATTAGTGCATGGGTGTAGCGCATACAATGTGTGTGTGGCAAAACCTCTCGACTTAGTTTGAAGTAAAGACTTCGTTAATTTCTGACCTTCGTTGTTTTGCGTCGCTACACGTTGCAAACGGCTCCGGGGGTGCACCTCTGCTGGCGCACAAGGGACTAGGGCCATTCTTTGTACATTGTGTTTTAATCCTTGTGTCCAAAATGTCGGAACAGTTAATGTCATTCGGATAATGGCTGCGTATGTAACCAACGGATCTTGCCAGCTCACACAGTTCTCGCGTCCACAACCTGGCGATGAAGCAACTATTTTCAGGGAGTTTGTTATCGACATGGCCAGGTAGTCTGTAGATACCCACGTCTCAATTTCCTCCTTTATCCCGGCCAGCATCGACCCCCTACAATAAGCACCACGACCCAACACGCTCCGGTGATGGCACAACGACGACGACGGCGTTCAAGAGTTGTTCATGGCCCCAGCGCGGCAACATTAGAACTCTCAGACGCCCGCAGGAACACAGGCTGCCCTCACCTACCATGCATCAACCATTGAGGTAGGTCAGAATAACATCTTGCACCGCTGGCGCCGGTCTTCTTTTCACGGACTGATCATGCCCTCACTCGACGTCCATCAGTCGCAGCTGTAAATGCTTCCCTTCGCGCACCCCCAACGTACCCTTTCCCTGTGTTCTACTAGCAACGCACGCTTCAATTCCTGCTCTCTCGACTAATAAGTGCGACGTCTGCGCACATGATATGCATGCACGGAGGTATGATAGTTAAGCCACGTTAGCTAATTCGCATGACAAGGCGGACGATGTGAGGCAAGCAGGGAGCCATTCCCAGGTCCCTGAAAACTCCATTATCCACCGAGGAACGCGGTTTCAAAACCGTCCCCAGGCCTAGCAACAGGTCGCCAGGGCCAGACAGACAACCAGACGGACAGACAGAGACGCACAGGATACAAGGAAACGAGCGGGCACGCATGCACACATATGCAATCCTGCCAACTCTCTTGAGGCTCTCAGCAGGGACCGCTGAAAAGTGAGGAAGCAAGCGTACAACTACAACCGTCCTCGCGCCCGCCACTCTACTAAACGCTCGTTTTATGGCCTCCTGCGCTTCGCCCTGCCCGCTTCAAATTCCCCGCCTCCACCAGGGACCACCGCCACCACTATCACCATTATCCGCCACATAGCCGCCTGACTCCGCAACCCCCCCCCAGCCTACGTCCTGAGGTGCTCGGTCCCCCGGCCCCCGCACACATCTCGAACATCAACCATAGCCAGGGGGGCGTTGCGCAAGGACGACAGCCCTAAGAAAAGTCACATATTGTCCAAGGTAAGTTGCGGAACCCCAGAACAGACAAAGGACCCAACCACCCACAATCATCGACCTTGCAGGCGAGGGCACAGGACCCCGTGTTGTCCCTGCTATGCAGACAATTCTCTGCTCTTGCTCGTACGTTGCAACGGGGCAGCTAGGTTTCTTTCACCCAAAGAACAACACAGCTCCCAAGCCCATTCAAACCTGAACAGTGGAAAAGAACATCCCCCAAATTTGAAGCTCGATCTAGGAGGGGATGGGAAACGTGGAGAGCGACACCATGCCATCACGCCTCCATGAGATCAAATCTCACTGCCCAACTGCACCGCCGCTCTGCCGGGGGCGCTGCTGCGACTTGTCAGGCGGTGACTGCTCAGGGGGCGATGTCGGCCGGCGAAGGCCGGCGGCCACCGCCGCTGCCTCCGCTGCCGCGGCGTCACCCGATAACGCGGCGCAGTGCCTGCAGGACCGACACCGCAAGGACAATAGGTCGCAGTTAGCTTATCAACCCTCAACGCTCCGCCCATGGAATCGTACGGATGAGTGAGAATCACATCGCACCACGAACGCACAAGACGCACGCACAGCAGCAGCAGCGGTACGAGCACGCGTGCGACGCGACACGACAAGGAAAACCCCTCCCTCCTCCCGCGTCCTTTTACCCCCTCCTTCCCCTTCCCTTCCTGCACCCACACCTGCGCCATAAGGCCCGGTACACGCCTTCAAGTCGCCGGAGGAAGGCCGGGCCGTCACACAGCGGACTCGATAACATGCGCTCCCGCAAAGAAGAGCGCAGCTCTGCTAGTGCCTGAGAGCACATAATTTCATCGTAATGGCGCCCCCAGCGAGTTGGCGGAGGGGAATTGGGGATTGCAAAATGAGTTGTGAGAGCCCCCCGAATGGGGTAGGTTGGGAACCGAAGGGGGATCTAGGGCTGCCAGGGTTGCAGCGTTACGATAATTGTTTTGATGGTTTTGATGGAGTGATCGGGCAACAGGAGAACAGGACGGCAAGAAGGTCGAGGGCACAATGAAGCATTGTGCGTGTGCCCGGTCGGCTTTCACACAGGTGCAGCCCGCCCTCTCCTCGGATCTTCCACTTCTGGGGCCGCCGCCCACTTTCTCACCTATCCATGCACCACATCCACATCCACGTCCACATCTGCACCGACCCTAAACCCGCCATTACTCCCGGCCCCCCCCCGCCACCCACCTTGACGTCCGAGGCGTGGGCCACTGCCAGCGCCACGTACTCCGTCTCGCTGTGAGCCACCCAGCCAGGCCGAACCGAGGAAGAAGGCGACGACGACGACGAAGAAGAAAAACGATGACAGCTACAACAGCTGGAGCAACAGCAGCAAACAGGTGCCACGGGGGAGGTCGCGCCCGTGCCCGCGCCTACAGCTGCGGCTCCAGCAGCCGCAGCTGCAGCAGTCGGACATTTCTTCTGGACAACCGTGGCGGCGGCGGCCGTTGAGGACTCCACCGCCATGTCCCGGGGGGTCAAGTCCGAGCCCGAGCTGCCGTCCGCCTCCTCACCGCATTTTCCCACCCCCTGCTGCTCCCCCCCTTCCTCTTGCAGGTGCTGTAGTTGCGGGGGTTGCTGTTGGTGCTGTTGATGGTGGTGGTGGTGGTGCTGCTGCTGCCCCTGATCACTGCCCACCGCTGGCTGGGCTCCGAGTAGTGTGGAGGTACCGGCAGAAGCTGCTGCCGCCGCTGCCTGCTGCTGAGCATACTGGGGATGCTGCTGTTGGGAATGCTGGCAATGCGTCTTGGTATTGGGAGCTGAGGGGCAGTGAAGACCTACCGCGGTTAGCAAACTGACTCCCACATTGTGCGCGTGGCAGCGACCCGCCAGAGTGAGACAGGGCACCCCCATGTACAGGGACTCCGTTGTGGTGGTGGTACCTAGCCGAGGACGCCGGGACGTTTAGTTGGTAGTTGATATAGTCACTCAGTTGGTTAATTAGTTGGTCGGTTGGGGTTACGGTGCGTTGTTGACCCTGTGGGTGGTGTCTGGTGTGAGGTTGGACGGATGGGCTGAAGGCTGGAGAGGCCAGACAGACACAAAATCAGAGACCCATGGGACACATGGGTTGTGGCGGTTGTGGTGGTGGTGATGGTCGTTGGGCCCAGTAGAGAAAACCAGAACCACACCAAAAATAAGAAACCAAAAATAAATCAAGTTAAACAAAACAACGATATACATGACCGAGACCTAATCACCAGCCCCCTTCGCCAACCTGCCCACCCAGCCACCCACGCGGCCCAACTCACCTGCGTACGGGAATGGATCCAGGGATATGTCCATCAACGAGTACGTGGCCAGGTGCTGCGCGTTGCCTGGTGCCAGGGGCAGCAGGTCCACCCTCCAGGGCTCCACCCCCACTGCCGCCAGCTGCTGCAGCACGTGGGCCCGAGCCGCCTCGCATGCGAATGGCTTGTTCTTGAGAACCAGACGGGATCGGGGCACGGCGGCAAGAATGGCGCCCCACAGCCGCAACACCTGGAAGAGGTGGGGGTTGGGGTTGGGGCCAGAGGGGAAGAGATCGAGTGAGCGAGAGGGGGGTTATCCTATGTATTCATTCGTTTCTTGCACCCGCAGGGCGCAAAACCATAGAACACCATACTCTGACAGCACAGCCACAATACACGGACATACATACTTACATAGCTACAAAACACATACATACATACATACATACATACATACATACATGGCAGGCGGCTGGCAGAGGTTAAGGCCTGACTTCTGCTCCCAGTTGACCCAGTCGACCCGGGTTCAAATCCGCCTGCCGGCTCCTCGGGTGTTTGAGGAGTGATGAAATGGGAGGTGGCCCCCCATCTTATGGACGGTGTAGGACGTGATAATATCAACTTGCGAGCTGACCAGGAACTAAGTTGATGCGCCGTTGATCCGCTAGATTTGGTTGGATGCTGGTGGTGAGTTGCCGAACCCAACGAATACATTCTGAAGTCGGATGGGGTGACGGATTAGGGTGCCCCTCTAGCAGGGGAGAGCAGGGACTGCCCCGGGAAAGGGGGCCGCTGGCGAAGTTAACCACCCTGTAACAACATACATACATACATACATACATACATACATACATACATACATACATACATACATACATACATACATACATACATACATACATACATACATACATACATACATACATACATACATACATACATACATACATACATACATACATACATACATACATACATACATACATACATACATACATAGACACAGCCGCCCGCCCTACTTGCGGAGTGATCTTGGCCAGGTTGTTGAAGGAGCCAAACGTGATGTAGCCGTTGGCGAGGGCGGGGGGTGGCGCCACCGGGGGTGCGTCCAGAGCGGGTGTGTAGCACAGGAAGCAGCCGGGCAGCCGGACGAGTTCCTCCACAAAGGTCTGACGGAAATCACCCGGCGGGGAAGCAAGAAGCGGCGGGAAGGAGCGGGCGGAAGGAGCGGGCGGAAGGAGCGGGAAAATAATTCGTCAAAAACAAAGGATCAACTGCCTGGGGGTAAAGGGGGGGTAAGGGGGGTGACAAGGTGAGGGGGTCGGCAGGTGGCAATCCTAAAGGACCTGACCATCTTCAAGCATGGTGGTGACATGAGCTGGGTATTTTTGATAATACCACAATCATCTGTATATTACACATTAAACCAAGAACAAACATCAAAATGATGAGACTATACGAACTGGTAAAAACAGTAGTAGTAAAATAGGTGGGGTAAAAGGAAAGGCACAAAAAGCTAGAATGCTAGGAAGGGAGAGCCGGCATTGTCAAGCTTTCGATGCGGGTGTCGCAAACCGCAGCCGCAGCCGCACCTGCTCAGTGGTCCACGGGTCACACACTTGGTCTGTGAGGCGGTAGTCCACCGCCTTGAGCCCCGTCGAGTTGGGGTAGCCAATCCACGTCAGCTGTACGGGGGCGGGCCGCCGAGCCATGACGCCTAGACGGTTGTTGGCAGTGTGGCCTTCATGGCAACCGACGGGGGTCAGGGCGGGGTTCAGGGCGGGGCGGAAACGAGATTTAGAATGGCGGCTCCATGGCCAGGACGGGTGGTGGTGGTGGCGGTGGTGGTGATGGTGGTAAATCCAGACGATGTGAAATGCAAAAATGCAGAGCATCAACTGCCGACTTCCAACGTTAGTACCATGCAACAGTCCACGGAGGACGCGGGACCCCGGGCAGGACGTGCACGTGCTTTTGCCAGTACTGGCAGAGGTACTCGCGGAACACAGAGAGCCAAAGTAGGAACGGCGGGCCGGGCGGCCGAAGCGGCGGCCCAACCGCAATAACGGGGTGCTGCGGAGGTACGTGGGAAACTGAGAACCGGAAGAGGGAAAGAGGAATCCGATCTTTTGCGCCGCAATGCGTCACTACCCCACTTACTCCTCTTCCCACTCTTTCCCCCCCCCCACCACTCTCTCCCCGCCGCAGCCCCGTCCCCCGGCCCCCAAGGCGCCCGTACCCGTCAGTTCCACCAGCAGGTCGATCTCGTCCCGCCGCACCAGCTCCGCCAGCTCCCCCTCGCTCAGCCGAGCCACCTCCCGCCACACACCCCCGGCGGCCTCCGTGCCAGCTCGCAGTCGGGCGGTCTTGGCGTCGGGCTTGGGAACACAACTGCGATGAAGGTGCGGAAGATGAGGGGGAAGATGAGGGGGATGGGGCCGACGGCCGAGGGGGGTGAGGGTGAGGGTGAGGTGGGAAGGCGGGAATCATTTGTAAAACAGAGAGAGGGGGGATGTGGCAGGTCATCAGGCATGATCATCATCATAATTGTCATCCTCCTCATCCCCCTCATCCTCCATCCATCCGGCAGCAGCGAGGGCTCTCCAATCATGACCCCATCCCCTCCTCTTCGTCCGTACAGTACGGCAGTTTCCTCTTCCGTTAACCTAATCCTTCGATACCCCTCCGCCCCCGGGGTCCCACAAAGTGAAGAGCCCCACTCCTGACCGCTCCTTTCCACCCCTTCCCCCAACCCGCCAGGTAACGGACGTCCCCACCCCCCTCTACCTGTACACGAAGTGCTGGTAGCCTCGGCCGGGTGCGTGGTGGGTTAGTGGCGCCTCCGCAAAGTACGATACGCTGTGAGTGAAGAGGTCGGGGGAGATGTAGCCGATGCGCAAGGGCCGGTCCGGATCCCGGCTGTGGAAGTCGCCGAGAGGCCGGGGCGGGGCGGGGCGGGGTGGGGGGAAGAACCACGTGAACGAGTGAAGCTGATGGCAAGGAGGATATGGACTGATACGCCAGAAGAATGTAAGCCGGGTGCGCGGTGGGCACGCAGGTGGTCAGGAAAGCAAAAATGAGTATGATTGTGTACCTCTTCCTCTCCTCTCCTCCCCTACCCCTCCCACAGCGTGCTCCACAGCCCTCCTCTGCAATCCCCGTATCGCAGAACCCCCCTAAATTCAACACACCGCACAGCGTGGGGTATTTATTACACGACACCACTTCCCGAGTGGGGAAACACTAACCGCCCCCATTACTCCCTATTGCCCCCCCCACACACACACACCCTACCGGCCCCCCACAAGATTCGCCAGTTCCCCTCCCCCTCCCGTTCCGCTGCCCGCTCTTTACTCCCGGCCCCTCTTACCTCCTGTCCCCCGGCCCCAGTGGCGGCAGTGGCTGTACGGTGGACTGGAACAACTCCCCCCACTCCCGGTGGGCAGAACTGACGAGCTCAGCCTCGCCTGGCGGACGGAATTTGGATTTGAATTCGATTGGTGAAGGGCGGGCGTAATCCGAACCTCGAAATTCCAGATACCTTGAAAAGCCCGTGTGGTCGCGAGGAAGAACAAAGGAGGTTTACAGGTGTATGTATGTATGTATATGTATACATATACATACGTATATATATGTATATATGTATACATGTGTATACATGTGTATATATGTGTATATATGTGTATATATGTGTATATATGTGTATATATGTGTATATATGTGTATATATGTGTATATATGTGTATATATGTGTATATATGTGTATATATGTGTATATATGTGTATATATGTGTATATATGTGTATATATGTGTATATATGTGTATATATGTGTATATATGGATATATATGGATATGTATATAGCCTTGTGCGCCCCACCCTGGACTCAGGCAGGCCGAGAAGCGCGAAACGCGACGCCACCCGGAAATTCAGCATCCGCGTCTCCAGCCGGGGACGGTGGACACTGCAGCTGCAGCCTTTGGGAAACCTGGCTGATGCGCGCACGGTCCAGGGCCATCGCTCCTCCACACACAACAACATAACGAATTCATAACCCCCCCTTCCCGGCAGCTTTTGGGCTCGGCAGCTAGATACTAACATCTTACAACTTCCTGCAGCATTCTGTCCCTATATATACCTGCGGAGTAGTATCCGTCCATCTCTGGTGGTATCGGCGTGGTATCTCGTCCGTCTGTGGTTCGTCTCCCCCTTCCTCGAGCCCTAAGAACCTTATCACCATTACCAAGCGGAGGCCCCCCTCCCCAAGACCCCTCCCAACACACACACACACACATCTCCCTCCCCCCTTCCCCCCTCCCTCCCTCCCCGCCAACACACTCACCGGGGTATATGTAATTGAGCGCCAGCAGCCGGTTCTGTCCGGCATTGCGGCAGTGGGGGTCCAGCTCCAAGCAGCGACTGTAGGAGGCCAGGGCCTCGGGAATGCACCCCACGTCGCGTTGCAGCACACCCAGGTTGTTGTGGGCCTCTGGGGACGGGAGGGATGCGGGGGAGCGGGGGGGGGAGGGGGGAGGTAGGAGCGGATGGATGTGTGTGTATGCTGTTGTTGTTGTGGCGGTGGTGTGGTGTGTATGTATTGGGCCTCTGTCCCAAATCCTTCCATTACACCCGTCCCACCAACACCCAACAAAACCCCTCTCTGGAAACACCAGCCCTACGGAAGGAAGTAGCGCCCTGAGTGCCCTACTTCCCCCCTCCCACACACACACACACACACACCGTGTATGTGTGTGTGTGTGTGTGTGTCGCGGTCATGAAAGGGCCCCCCCCTGGGTAGCCATCACGCACCCGTATAGGTGGGGGATCCGTTCACAGCGGCCATCAGCAGCGTCAGGGCGTCCGCAGCTCGGCCCTGTGTGTATTTATGTGTATATGTATGTATGTCCATTGCGGAGGTAGAGGGAGGTGTGCAGGTGACGGGTGGGAGGAAGGAGCAGGGAAGGAAGGTGGGGAAGGGGTTAAGATGAAAGACACTCAACTCCAAAACAAAAAGAAATACAAAATTATTAAAGGGTTTGAATTCAGCGGGTAGCCCGGGGGACGGGGGCCCGTCTTCTTAAAACTCTCTCGAACCTTCCAGGTGTTTTCGTGTGTGTGTGTGTGTATGTGTGTGTATGTGCTGGCAGGAGTACTTACATCTACTCAAATGATTCAATCCGACCTCGGAACCAGCTTGAGGGCCCCCCCCTCAATCAGCCCCCCTTCATATGCATTCTAAGCGTGTCGGGCCCCACATGCGTACACATACACACAACCCATACACCCGCCCCTTGCCAGGGAGAGGGAGGTCACTACTTGACCCAACAACCCCCCTCCCGTAATCAGCACACTACCGTCGCCACCCCCATCCCCATCATCACCACTAACTTCAAGCCGTTGATTGGTGGTGGCTTCTTAACGGTTTCCCTTAACGGTTTCATCTTGGGCCTCCAGACCCCCTTTCCAGAGCCCAGCCCCCCCCTCTTCATCGCCGCCCACCTGCGCCGTCATGACCACCCCCAGGTTGTTGAGGCTCTGAGGGAAGCTGGGCCTTATGGCCAGTGCGGCCGAGTAGCACTCCACCGCGCGCTCTATGTTGTCCTGTGTGTGTGTGGGGGGAGTTGGGTGGATGGGTGGGTGGGTGTGGGGGGAGTTGGGTGGATGGGTGGGTGTGTGAGCATGCATCCACCCGCCGACACGACACGACACCAAAGCGATGCGGCTGAGTCTCTAGGACACACACACACACACACATATAATATAATATAAATGTAGGGAAGTAGGGCGAGCGACATTCCAGCGAAAACGCAATCCGTGCCACAACAGGACAAGGACTGAGACACGGCGGGCCCATGTATGTGTATGTCTTGTATGTGTATGTCTTGTATGTGTATGTCTGTATGTGTATGTCTGTATGTGTATGTCTTGTATGTGTATGTCTGTATGTGTGTGTGTGTGTTACAAGGAGCTGCGCCCCACGCGGCCCCAAGGGCTGGAGATGTAACATACGCCGGCGAGGTGTCTACGTGTTTCCTGGGGTGTGGTCCCGCGGGCCGCGGGCCGCGGAGGTGGTGCTTTTGGAAAATGGTTTTAATTTTTCGTCAGGGGTATTTGTATGTTTTATTATCCTTTTTAATGATAAGAGATTTGTAATCCCGAAGATGGTGGCAGGAGGGTATTGGAGTTCCCCTTTAGTTTTTCGTCCCCTAAAGGCTTGTCATCTCTTCCTTGAAGTGAGTGAGTGGCATGCGGGGATGAGAGTGATAGCACTAGGGGTTCAGGATCAAGACCAGGTCACCAGGCCAAGGGAACTGGTCAGCCGCAAAGAGGGGAGGGCCCTACAGGGCAGGGCACGCCGGGGCAAAGGAGCAGGTTCCGGGATCAATGTACGACCTTCCGTACACGGATTTTCGTCACAAGAACATCCAGAACTCCCACCCAACCCAATTCCCCTCCCACGACCGTTACTGGCTGCCGAACTATTTGCCCATTGGTGTGTGTGTGGGGGGGTTATCTCCCTGTCCCCCCTCGGCCCCGCTCCCCCACTCCCCACCAACTCTCGCCTGTTCCTTCCAAATAACCCCCAGGTTGTTCTGTGCCTCCGCGCACGCAGGGTTGAAGGCCAGGGCCATCTCGTACATGAAGGCGGCACGCTGCAGGGAGCCGCCGAAGGGGGAGAAGGGGGAGGGGGTTACGACGAACCATTACCGAATGAAGCAGAGGGGCACAGCAGGGGGGAGATCATGAGAACAGAAGCAAACTGAAGCAAACAGAAGCAAACTGCCCCGCCCCCAACCGCCGACGTCAGGGAGGAGAGGTCCACAACCCGGCGAGGGTCCGGTTCGTTCAAGTGGTGATGTGGGGTTGGGATTGAGAAAGGGGAGGGTGCGGTGTACGGAAAGTCAAAAGATCCAAACCGTGAGGGCCCCCCACATAGCAGCCGCGTGGAGGACGACGGGGTACTGGGGAGATTGCCGCACACCACCGTGGCTGCAGCGGCTCCAAGGGGCCAGCACGGTGCCTTACAGTACGGCATGATGTAATGTGACATGGTACGGCACAGCACAGCGAGGGGCGAGAGCGCGCGGTCCACTGTAATGGTTAGCACGTCCCGCACTCGCACGAGCACGCGACGTCAGTGAATAGTGAAGACATGCTTATTTGTGAGCCCCTTAACACGATACACACGGTCTCTTCCCCCACCCCATCCCCGGGCCAGTGCTTTACAGCACAAGGGAGCAAAGCAATGGCACCCGGGGGCTGGAGCGGGGGAAGATTGTGTGGGGGGTGGGGGAAAGACGAACCACACACGATTGAAGCTGCTGCCAGGGCAAGAGAGTAGCAAACGTAAAAACTGACCGAAAGGCGTCCGTGGCGACTGTGACCTCGGGATGAAGAAGTGACGTGGGGGGTGGGGGGTGGGGTGGGGGGGTGTAAAGCTGCTGCTGCTGCTGCTGCTGCTGCAGATAGCGTGTGTGGTCGGGGGCTGCCGGTTGATATTTTCAAGGTGTAGGGCTGATCGGCGATGCGTTTTGAGTGTGGCGTGTGCACACACCACCACACGTACACATTGCGTTGGGGAGCCCGCCGCGGAAAACACGTACAAAGATGTTAGGAATTCCGCCTTATATTTTACTTTGAGTGCTGTAGCATTGCTCGAGGCAAAACAAATCGATTCAAGTTTAAAGGAAAATAAAGAGGTCGCAGCCTGCAGGTACCTGCAAGTCGCCCTTCTCGCCGTACGCCACCCCCAGGTTGTACAGCGCGTCGGCATGTCGCGGGGCGTACGACAGCGCCCGCTCGTACAGTGCGATGCCCTCGTCCAGCCGGCCCTCGTTCTTGATGTGCGTGCCTGCACGACACGCGCCGTGTCATGTTCCGTGCCAAACGTCCTCACGACGCGCCATGAGCGTGACGAATGAAAGCGCACAACACCACCACATAGACACAAGCATAGATGAAACCCGAGAGATATTTTGACGAACGGGAAGAAGAAACTAAAAATTGAGCCTTCTAGTTTCTTCCTCCCTCCCTCCCTCCCTCCCTCACCACTCGCTATCGCTTAAACACACGCAAGTAACATTTTTTCTGAACAAGCACAAGCGCGCGCACACGCGCCAACGATGACACCAGCACCAGCCTAGGTTCCCTGCTTATAGCCCAGTCCAAGGCAATAACTCCCGGTTGGGCTAGTTCTCCCACCCCGCCAGCTACCTCGGACGCCACCCCGCCAGCCAGCCACCCACCTAGGTCGGTCAGTGCAATGGCCAGGTTGTTCCGCACAATGGTGAAGTTGGGGGCGGCGGCCAGGGCCGCCTCATATGCCGCCACGGCCTCCACCACCCGGCCCCGCTCACGCAGCAACACGCCCAGGTTGCAGTGAGCCTGTCGGGAGGCCGGAGCGGAAGGGAGAAAGAAAGGCGGGGAAGCAGCCACGGCGGGGTGGGGGGACGGGGGGAGGGATAATCATCATATGCAGGAAACAAAGGCAGGCGCGGGTGGGGGAATGGAGAAGGCGCGGCGGGAGGTCACGCACGCGTGAATGTGTGAATGCGTGTGTAAAGATGCAAGCCCGCGCACAAACCCTTCCTCCCTTACCCATCTCTCCACAGCTGCTTACCAGACCAGCTATACCCTGCCTATCTTCCCACACACACATACACGCCACGCCATTCCATGCCTGGGTCTTCCACGCGGTGTCCTGCCCTCAGCCATTCCCTCCTCCCCGCCATTCCCCTCCCCCATCCCTCCTCTGTGCCTCGGAAGTTGATTTCCTTGCACATGTACCACCCCCTCTCCGTCCCCTGCGGACATCGGCAGCTAACATGCCTACATCAATAACGTGCATATGCATGGTTTGCACGTTGGCATGGGCACGCATGCCTAACTGTCCTTCCTAATACCCTAGCTACCGCCTTCCCACCCATACCTACCTAAGACCATACCGCCTACCCAATACCCACCTGCGCGTACCGGGGCTCTGCCGCAATGGCCGCCCGGTAATACTCCAGTGCCGCATCCCCCTGCCTCAGCTCCCCCGCCACAACACCTAGGTTGTACAGCGCAGGCGCGTAGTTGGGGCACAGAGACACCGCGGCCTGGTATCGGGACACGGCCTCAGCCACCGGGGCACCTGGACGGGAGGGCGGGGCAAGTGGGATCCAGGGGTATACATACATGGGCAGGTGGGTGGAAAAATCAGACGACACGGCGCGCGAGAAGGAAAGGCGCAACTGCCGGCAGGTCCAGAATACATCCCGGAGTGAATGGAGGGCCGCGATCTGAGCGGCACATGGCGGATGGAGCCCCCAAACCCACCCACCCACCCTTCTTTACCACCCCCCAACACTCCACCCACCCACCCACCCACCCACTGACCTGCGTTCTTCAGCTTGGTCCCCTGGTCCGTCAACACCACCGCCAGACCCACCCGGATGGTGGGGTCATCCGGCCGCAGCTCGTGCGATCGACGATACACCGCCACCGCATCGCCCAGCAGGCCCTGCGACTGGTACAGGGCCCCCAGGGCCGTCAGGCTGGGTATGTGGTCGGGGGCCAGCGCCAGAGCCCGAAGATGCGTGGACATTGCCTACGTTTTGGGAGAGAGGGTTAGTCCAGAGGTCACATGCAAGAAGCAACGGTCAATTGAGAAGCGGCAGGGCCAGGAGGGAGGATCCCGAATACACCCCTCCCCCGCCTTCGTTTTACCTTAACCTGCCCCTAGCCCTTCGCTGCCTGCATGCACACCACCACCAGACTGTAAGCACAAAACGACATACACGTTTCCACCACCCCCCGCCCACCTCCTGCACTTGGCCCAGGGCCTGCTGACATTGCGCCCGCAGGTGCAGTGCCTCCACATTTGTGGGCTGGCGGAGCAGCACCCCATCCAGTAGGGCCAGAGCTTCAGCTGCCTTTCCAGACTGCCGCAACACACCCGCCAACCGACACTGCGACGCAAGCGCTTCGGAATCGGCAGATGACCCCAGTGTCAGCTGTGGCGCCGCCGCTGGTGCCGGCGGTGGAGCCTGAGGGCCCCCGGGGGCCGCCGGCAGCTGCAGCACTGCATTCTGATGTGCTCCGAAACCCGACTGTTGGCCAATGCCGGGAGCGGCGGCGGCAGCGGTGACTTCGGGTGGCGTTGGGCCGGCAGGGGACGCTGCCACTGCCAGAGGTAGGGTTGCAAAGGGCGAGATGGCAACACCGGCACCGGCGGCAACAGCAGCAGCAGCAACAGCGACGGCTGCTTGTGGGACGTGTATGGCAGGCAGCACAGGGCCCCACGGTGTGTATGGAAGCGCCGCTGCGGGCACAGCTAGGAGTGGCAGCCCCGCGGCCACCACGGCTGCCGGTAACTGCTGTTGTTGTTGCTGCTGTGACACCAGCAGCTGGTGTTGTTGCTGCTGCACACTCCAGGACTGGGGATGGCCGGCTATCCCCGCCACCGCCGCTGCAGCTGCCGTCGCTGCCGGCCAGCGGCTGTCAACTCCAGGAGAAGCCTGGGGCCCGTGATTCCGTGGCGTAAATCGCATTTGCTGTTGCTGTTGATGTGGACTGGGGGGCTGCGAATCAAGCTGAGGTTGCGGTTGTTGCTGCTGAGCCGGAGATGTGTGTGCCGAAATAGAATGGCTTCTACGACTGGGCCTGGAAGATGAAGAGGGACTCTTCATCTCGTGGCCGTGGCTAAGCCCTGCGGCCACCGCTGCCGCTGCGGCTGAGTGGGTCTCAAACGACGACGGCGTGTCGGGTCGCGGAGGCGGAGGCGGCACGTCAACTCGACCAGGCGACATGGGGGAGTCGGCTGCAGACACACGCTGCAGGACCTCGGCCGGCCATCCTGCCGTCGCTGTCCTAACAACACCGCCACCGCCCCCTTGCGGCGGCGACGGTGGCGGTGGCACCGCAGGCACGACCGCGGTGGCATTGCCGGCTGCAGGGAACAGCAAAGCAGAATGGGGCTGTTGCATACGCTCGCCGCCTTCAACGCACAGCGGCGATTGTGGCAGCGGTGCTACTGCTCCAGGCGTTTTCCGCGTGGCTGACCTTTCTAGCGGGTTCCAAGACGATGGCGCGCCAACGCAGCAAGGCAAGGCGGCACGGCCGCTGTGATCGCAGTCGCTGCAGCGCATAGCCTTGGCCGTTCCTGGAGATTGCGGCCCACAGGGGGTGCCGTTGCATTCAAAAGCACCACTAAAGCTGACAACGCCGGCCCCACTAACGCAGTCGTCAATGCTGCTCCGGTCGCCGTTGGGGCAACAGGGCGGCTCGGCCGCAACCTCGGCTAGATAGGCGCAGCTGTTTATATAGCCTAGCCCGCCTTCCTCAGCTTTCATAGGATGGATATGATTGGCTGCCACTGTTCCGGCCGCGGAGGCTCGCCTGGGCGGGGAGTCGCCGTCCACGGCTGGCAAGGAGCTACTGGGGGCCTGGTCATAAGAAAGTGCGCTTAGATGGCACGGGGACTGAGGAGGCAAGTTGCAGGGCGGCAAGGCGGATGAGACACAAAGTCAAGGTGTGATGGACGCTGACCTCGAGACGGCCAAGAAAACGGGGCCAAGAAAACGGGTTCGGCTCCAAGGGGATCTTAGGCAAAAGGGTGCGGCGGCGACAAAAGACATGCCCATTTGAGTGATGTGCAATAGTCCTCATATGCATCCTTCAAGCCTCTGCAGGGCCTGGTTAGAAGCCGGCTGCTGTGCAAATCAAATCCTGGACAGCTAGATTGGAATGAATTAGCGGATGAACGCCAGATGATAAGGAGGATCGATATCTTAGCGACGCATGTGTGTTATAAAGTGTGTTTCAAACGTGTCTGCTGTGGTAACCGCACACTGATTGCAGCATTCTTGTGATGCAGGCGCGCGGAGGCCAAAAAACGCCAACTGTGACACTTCTATGCTCACTTGCACTCTATAGAAGTCACGACACACGCGTGACGTCCATAAAGCCGCACCTCTTGCTGGTCCGCCCGCTGATGCTCCATACGCCCCTCACCAGTGCGCGCCGTTGATGGTAGAGGCATCCGATGCTTGTTTAAGCAAGCTTAGACACGCTTTAGATGTCTAGAAATTAGCTCCAAGGCATCCACTGCGATGCCGCTATCGGCGGCCGAACAAAACCCCGGTTGGAGATATAAATGCTACAAACAAGAAATATTGATCTGGAATGAAAAGCTGTCTGAGATCATACCGTTTCACATGTTGGTAAAAGGAAATAGGCCATAAGGAAAGTAAGGATTCCTAGCAACCTCTTCAATGTTAACCGACAGCCGTAATATAGATCGCACCATGTCAACCAAATGTGTACGCATGTCCTTTTTTTTCTAAAAGCGCGCGCTCTTTCTGCGATCCGTACTCCGTGATAATTTAGTCGCTGCAGTAGTTATTGGCTAGGCGTGTACTAATCTGGTTCTCATTTTTTGTAACAAGCATCTACACAATGTGCATAAATTATTGCCAACGCATTCGGCTATTTCTCTGACGATAATCGCACTCGCAGATAGGAGAAACTTCGCCCACGCTGAGCCACGCATAGTCCGGACATTTCCATTCATTTTGGCTTAAAGTATGAGACGCTTGGTCAGCCATAACCGATGGTCTGTGGCTGTCGAGGCCCGGTCTTTAACCACAAATCGCGTCCCCATCCCCTTGCCTTATCGCGGCGGCGTCAGCTTCGGACAGCTCGCTTATGCACCACCTCACAGGTACACAGCAGATCTCCGTGGCTGACTTCTGATCCGGGCTGTACCGTGTGGCCCGCGCAAGTCGGGCGCTGCATACCCCGGGCCATTTCAACCCAAAGGGACAAGCTTAGCACTCGCCCATGCTCCGTCCTAATCAGCGGCCTGAGCTATCCCTGACTACCCTTTTCTAGCCATATCTTCTATACACTCGTAATCCTGCGGTTGGGGTTAATCCCAGGCGGCATAGTTGTCTGTGCATGCATGTGCCTACCAAGGCCTGAAACGAAGATGTGATTTGCAAGATTCAGATCCAGCAGAGGCAAACAGAGGGGTGCACCTATTTGCCATGCGGCTGTAGTCCTGGCGGCCTTGTGTGGATGTGGGTGCTTCAGCGGATAATGTTTTAAGGGGCATCATAAGATACTTGACCGAACTGACTCTTGTTGATACACGGTCCAAGGTCTCCTCCAACAGAACCCTAGCAGACAACAAACCCCAACGTGGCCCAGAGACTCCATACCTTACCTCCTTCCCGCGCGATTGACGACACGCTAGGATGCTTGTCAAACAGATATCCCTGGGCCTTCGGCTCGTATGGGTCTAGTTTTACAGGTATGGGGTCACGCACCCCCCCAACTATGTAACACACACATCACACACAATAAAGAAAGACAGATGTCAGGTATCCTCGCTGCTTCTTTTGTCTGTTCCCGCCCCCATCTGTCCATATACTGGTGGTCATGCCTGCTGCACGGCTGTAGGGGCCACGGTGGAACCGGCGGCGGCCCTGCCGTCCCCCCCACTGCCGCGGCTTCCGCCAACACGGCAGAGGTGGCATCAGCGACAACGGCGGCGATGCTGCCACTGTATACCCCTCGCACCTCTGACCCACATCGCGGCAAGTCCCACGGACGACGGTTGCGATGGCGGCGGCAAGGACGGACCCCTTTTAGCTCAGTCATGTACGGTAGTCGTGTTCGCACAGCTACGGCGGTTGTGCCCGCTGCGGCCGCCGCCGGCGGCAGCGGTGGCGGTAGCGGCGCGGCCATGAGCCTCGGCGACCTCCAGCTGGACATTCCCGAAATTGACGGTGACATTCGTTCGTTGCAGGTTGAGATGGGCGCCATATTCAATGTGAGTGCCTGCTGTACGTGTATAAGAAGCCAGGGAACGTTGCCTGCTAACGGAAGAAACACTGGAAGAACTAGTACGCATGCGACAAACAAATGTTAACTTTCTGTGTGTATTGGAGACGTACTGTGCTGCGAGTAGGAACGTCGTGTGTGGTGTAGGCCAGGCTATGATCCACTAAGAAGCGATGAGCGCGAAGAACCCAAATCCCAAATTTCGAGGTTTTCAACGTTAACAGCTCGATGGTATCGATGGGGACCTGCTGCCTCCCCATCAGGCGGACGGCCGGTTTTTGTCCCTCCTTTCGGTCAGTTCTACGTCTGGTACACTCTTGCCCTGGCAGCAGCTTCACTCGTTTGTGGTTCGTCTTTCCTCCCTCCCTCCCTCCCTCCCTCCCTCC